TCACTTGATGTGTATACATGATATTATGCTTTAAAGGCTGATTCCAATCAAAATTGGATTATTATAAATTTGATCTAACTGAATCCTTTTCTTAGAATACTGATATATTGGTGAAGCTACTCCAGGATTGCAAGTACATTGAATTTGAGAAGCACATCAAGTCACTTGTAGATATGTTCAGCCAGGCAACAGGGTAGGTAGTGACTGTTGTGTATTGTGTAACTATTCTGCTTCCTTAAAGGCAGGATACAGCCGTCCTTTTGCTTAAAGCTGTGTTTGCAATTGAGAGCATTTTATCAAGTATAGAAAAGTGAGACTATATTTCATAAAACCCTTAGCTTACTCTCTCTCTCTCTCCCTCCTCTTTCCTTCCCTTCTCTCAGTCCTAATTATTCTAATCCGATTGATTCTATTCTTCTAAATCATCTTGGTATTGTCACTCCTCGTAAAGCAGGTTATTAATAAGTCACATTTTGTGCTTTAATGGTAAAACAATGCTCTCCTTAGGGCTCCCAATGAAGCTGACTTTCTTTATCACTCCATCAGAAGGTATCAGTGCTGGCTTGAATCAGGAATCATCCAGCTCCATTATAGAAGGTTTGAAAGATCATTGATTAACTAATGATAGCCATTTTTTTTCTTATTGAAGGTGAGCTTGATGTTGGTATTTCTGCTAAGGTCCAAGTGGAAAGGAGCAGTACCCAGTTTTATCGCCTGCCGATTGATCCTAATATTTTCAAGTTAGTAAAGAATATGTAGTTATTAATTTGAGATAATATTGCACTTTTTAAACAAAAAGGCATGTTCCATCTTGTAATCCGTTGCAGCTGTTAATAACTCAAAATATTTAACATTTAGTTCATCCCAGGGTGCGTTTGCTCAGCTAACGGAGCAGAACAGTGTCTCAGTTCCCCTCACACTCATCCTCTCATTAAATGAAGACATTCCTATTTGCACTGGAATTGCTGAAAAATTACAACAAACAGTATACCTTACAAGTACCTCTATCATCATTATCATCATTATCATTATCATTATTATCATTATTATTTTTATTATTAATTATTATCATCTTTGCTCTCAGCTCAGACTCTACCCTCATTGATTGCCCCACATGTTGATCAACTAATAATATCTGAAGCAAGCAAGAAAGTAAAGGTATACATGAATGATCATAAGTGCTTTTTAAAAAATAATAATAACCATCTTATTTATTATTAGGATAGCAATGTTGCTAAAGAACACATCACAAATTCAGTACATACTATAGTAAGGAAGTTACATGTACATGTACATGTACATGTACATGTACATGTACATGTACATGTATATTACATGTGTACACTAGTAGTATCTTCCTGGACAAGTGCATGAATACGTTGGACTGGGTGTGCATAATGAAGTTCCAAATTTACAAAGAGGAGTATTGCTACCCAACCGTAGTGTCCCATTTACTCACCCTGTGCATGTCATTAAGATCATATACGTGAGTAGACTTCATGTACATGTGCTTGTAATTATAATTTGTTTATGTTTAATAATGATTTTGTTTGTTTATACAGTTACTAAGACAACAGCTTGTGTACAACACTTTGCTTGTTAGTTGTTTGACACGTAAAAGGAGAGGGACTGTCCCAGCCACAAGTCAGTTGTTTTGTTATTTGTTGAGAATATTTTTTCTGGGCTTTGTTTAGAATCACTCGATGATTATTCATTCCATGTCTCCACCCAGCCACCTGAAGCAATCATCATGGCGACACAGCTCCTCACAACAAAAGGAGGAGTCATACCTTTGAAATGTACAATAATAATTGCTTTATCATCGCCTTGGTCCAATTAATCCTGGCTCTTTCAATCTTTTATCTCTCATTTGTAGTTAAGTTTGTAATTCCACAAGAGAAGGTTGCACCAACTCAGCCTGTCCTCCACTTACAAGCTGGTAGTGATGATCAGTCAATGGAGCAGTCACCATCACTGAATAAAATATTAGCAAAGTAAGTCATTGCACTTTAGAGTCACTTTCAACTACAGATACTTTTAATTGCATTAGCCATACAGTTTGTAAATGTAGCATCTGTGACTGAAAGCATTGTAGCATTTTCACTTTATGCTATGTTTCAACTATTTTGCTTCACTCACACAAATGTTGACATACAACTAGTCAAAAGTTTATGTAATGACTAATGACACTTTACAGTCGTAAAAGCAAGTGAATTCAAAACTCAATTACATTAGGAGTCTGTCTATACCTGTTACAATACATGCTGGGTTTTCAAGACCTGGCGTACTGCCTCCCTCAGTTGCAGCTGCTTTCAAAGACCATCAAGATGCATTGAAAGCGTTCAATAGTGAGCTTACGTCATGCGGGATTGCCTCGGGGGATTTCAGCAGCCACATGACTAGTTTGTCTGAGCAACAATTGACAGGAGTTGCGGCCGGATTTAAGAGGAAAAGACCTCCAGTTTGACATGCAAAATAGTTTGACATGTAAAATTAACTGTATAAAACAACAATAATTTTTAAAATGAGTATTAATACTATAAAATCTTTTGTTCTACATGTATGTTCCACATTGTGTCCCATTGTTCTCACTACAGCTTTATGGGTCCATGCATCCCTTTACTTTAAACACCAGTGATGTTTCGTTGCTCATCATGTATCTCTCTACAATTATCTTCTGGAAGGATCCTCCTCCGCTCACAATGAGGAGTTTTGCTTGTGACATTACTTTTGCTTCTACTTGTGCCACGAACGCTTCATTCTGAGCCTCTGTGCTACGAAACGAAGTGATCTCTATGCCCTCTTGTACAAAGAGCTCTTTGTAAAGTTTAATTCCTAAATAGTCTGTAAAATATAGTGTTTTGGTGATGTTAGGATTTTCCTCTCCCACCCCCTTAGCCAGTTTGATAGTATCTAGTATGCATTTAGTCTCATTTGTCTGACGATGCCTTAAATGGATTTTTTCTGCCCTTATGTGAACTGCAATGAAGTTCTTTGTGTTCTGCTTACCGAGTTTCTCTGTAAGGAACTCATATGCACTCTGTACTACAAATTGACTGAGTGGTAGGAGTTCTAATGTGGGTGGAAGGGGATGCTTGTTTATAAATTCTTTTGGGACAGACAGTCTGAAGAGTCTCTTAGGGTCAGGTATGGTGATTCCATGCCATTCCTTAAATATGATAACATATTCATCAAGGTTTTTAAAGCCGCATCCTGATGCAATGTCCTGAGGTGTTGTTGGGACCTTGGACTCAAGTTTACAGCAACTGTAGTGAGGTGTATTTAATCTTACACTATTTATTTTTAAGTTTTTTGCAAATTCGAAATTCTTGCCACATTCTACTAGCAATGGATATCTCACTGAAGGCCTTTGATTGTTGTAATTTATCTTTATAAAGATGATCTGTGTCCTTGCAGTGTTGTTTCCAAATGCAATTCTGTAAAACTGGTAAAAGTCTACTAGCCTGGAGAGATTAAGCTGAAGTAGGTTTCTTTGTATTTCTGCAATGTCATAGATAAGAGAGTAATTCTCGTTTGAAGTACTGTTCTCTGGCCATCCAATCAGCCGAGGACCTTTTGCAAATGGTAATGTGACTTCTGCTCCCCATTCATTTGCAAACTGGAGCAACGAGTGTAAATTGATTGTACCCATTGTAATTTTCTCCCAATAAGAGACTGCTAGGGCAAATCTTTTTGAACGAGGGGCTCGACGAGGGGTGAATGCTTCAATGTCAGGTGCTGTTGCAGATCTAGAATGGCTCCATGGCTTCCTTGCCACAAATGCTGATTTTTCCATTCCTTTTTTATTAGTTTTCATCATGATTGCTAGTCCTAGAAGTAAGCTTGATAGAAGAAGCAGCATGAACAACATTAATATAGACTTATTTAAGACCATCATAAAGCAAGTGTGTAACGTAATGTTACTTATGTTATTGCTAATTTGCTATGTGGTTAAAATAATTTTTATAAGTCTAGCATCAATCAATATTATGAAATGAATTATTAATGAGCCACACCCATAAAGTGCTGCAGCTAGCTAAAGAACGCGAGGAAGAACGCATACATGGCGTCTGCTTCAGGTTGTATGGCTCCAGGAAATTCAACCATTAGATCCATGCAAGGCAGCTTGAAAATGTACAAAAAGAGAAAATGGAAAACTTACTTTTTCAAAGTAACAGGATCAACTTACTTTCATTACTTTCCACAAAGCAACGTGAGTGATCTAATATAAACTATGTATATATATATATAGATATAGATCTATACAACTTTTCTTATTGAATAGCATAACAAAGCAAAAAAAGAAGTGTTCCTAACAAAAGTCAAAGGTGTCACTATTCCTCTTTCTCCTCCAAAAGGAGGTGAGTATGTCTTTGAAGTGAGATTTACTAAAGACAAGCCTTGGGTCCTTAGTGCCTTGACAAATGTCAGTAGATCAAATCTTTTTGTCTTGATTATTGCATAATACACAGGAAGAGAGACACAAGTGGATTGAGACTATCTATCCACAGTATAAGCCACCAGAGAGCTTCGTACCAACAGATCTTCCTGGTGACAATGGTCGAGGTAGAGACTGCAGTATACAAAGTTTGGTCTTGCATACAAAGGCTGTGGTAGATACAGTGCCCGTGTTTTATAAATACGAACGAAAAGCAAACACAGATGTTGTGACCAAGTCCAGCGAGTTCAATGAAGAGGAGCAAAAGAAATATATTGAGTTATCAATGCATAGTCAAGTGACTAATGGTATAAATCAACTTGTAGATTCATAGCTATTATCAGCTTCTATTCATGTTGATAACTTTTAGATGATCTTGACGCTGACAGTGATGGCTATTTTGTAATGTCCAGCCCTCAATTGTCTGATTCGGTTGTGCAAACATCAATAAAGAACCAAAGATCAACCAGTATGATGATCTTATCCTTAACAAGTGCCCCACTGTATTGATGATGTGTTATAGGTCTCAGTCAGCAAACTACAACTGTTGAGCAGCATCACATAATTCCTAGTTCTTGCTTATCAAACGAAACCATCATTGGACAAGGTATAACTATAATGAAATGCATATTTCATTCTCAGTTATTCTGTAGGAAATTTCGGTCAAGTGTGTGTAGCGGATTACCTACCTCTGGTAGGGTCAAGCTCAATCCAAGTTGCTGTAAAGATGCTGTTTGATAGAAATTCACAGGACTCAGTTCTAAAAGAGTTCAATGTGATGGCATCAACCATGCACCCAAACATTGTGAGACTCTATGGGCTAGTAGTGGACTCAACTGCCATGGGCCTTAGGATTGTCATGGAATATCTTCCATATGGAGATCTTAAGACATATCTCAAGGTTTAATTTTAATAGGAAGATGAAAGAAATAATTTAATTCCTTTCTCGTATATGCAATAGGTGTCAGCAAAAAAGCCAGTGAGGACACTGGTGAAGTACATGATTGATGTATCAATGGGAATGCACTACATAGCACAGAAAGGACTCATTCACAGGGTAAGGTATATCTAATAGATCTATGCCAGCTAATTGGAGATCAGCAACATAATTTTACATTATTTTCTCAGGATTTAGCAGCCCGGAATGTGCTAGTGGGAGAAAGAGAGACATGCAAGATATCTGATTTTAGTTTGATAAAAGAGCTACCGGCAGACACCTCCACATATCAGAGCTTTACTTCAGTCCCTCTTCCCATTAGGTGGATGTCACCGGAAGCATTGGTACACAAGGAATTCTCTGAAGCATCAGACATCTGGTCTTACGGTGTACTGCAATGGGAGATGTTTAATCCTGATGAAACCCCATATCAATCAATGGAGGATGCACAGGTTCTAAAGATATTGAAAATCTGATGCATTTTTTAACAAAAAATATTTTAGGTTGTTATGTACGTTATGAATGGGAAAAGGCTGTCTCCACCTCGTGAGTGTCCCTATCATATTTCAACAATAATGGAGTCATGCTGGGACTCTGACCCAAGGAAGAGGCCCTCCTTTCTTAAGCTCACTTCACTACTCACTCACACTAACATGGCTTTTAATTAAAACAATAATTATTGATAATTTTGTATGATATACATGTACTTGCCCCAAAAAAAGACTCAATTCAAATACATATAAGCATTTAAAATAAAATACCCTTTTATACAATAAATTATTATTTCATTTAGACATTAATTTATAGATTAATAATAATTTGAAATTTATAATTAAATAATGATAAATTAATAACGTCGTTTTCGAGGCGGAGAATATCCAATAAATACGATAGAATCATCATCATCGCGAAGCAATCCGTCACGCAATCTACTCTTCCTCCTTTTACGAGGAGGACTTACGTCACCGTCATCATCACGAAACAACCTATCGTCACTCAATCTATCTGCCCTCTTTCTACGTGGAGGACTTAAATCATCATGATGATAAGGATGGTGCCTACTAGAATAAGAGGGACTGCTTTCCTGTCTCCTATAAGGAGGCACATAGCTATTGCTAAAGTGACGAGACGAGTGATGCAATGATGGCAGTGGCTGTCTATAAGAGTCACTGTAGCGACGGTGAAGATTACTACCGCTACTGGAACGACGGTGAATCGGCTCAGGAGGAGGAGGAGGAGGAGGAGGAGGAGGAGGAGGAGGAAGAGGAGGAGGAAGAGGAGGAGCACGAGAATCATAGGAGAGATGATATGGAGGAGGAAGTGGTGGGAGAGGTAGGGAGGGATTATGAGAGAAACGGCGCGAGTGATTAGAAGGCGTGCCTTCAATCCTGTTACGAGGGAAATTGCCCTTATAAGGTGTCATCATGTCTTCTGGTAATCGGGTGTGTTCGAATGACAGACTCCTAATATCTGAGGAGAGTGGGGAGGGGTGAGAGAGGGGGAGGTGACGAGGGGTGGAGTGATCGTTGAGTGACATTCTATCTCCCAGTAATGAGTGATGGTTGCCAGAGTGTGTCGAGTGTCTCCTATGGTGATCACTAGAGCCAGAACTATGAGTTCTCCCTCTGTCGTCATCATTGTCATCGTAGTCTCTTTCTTTTCGTTTCATTTTCTTTGTGTTATGCTTGTCTAGAGTGTTCGGCGTCTCTGGTGACAAGTGATGCTTGCTCTTTCTTCTCCGATTTTTTGGAAACTCGTGATCTTTGTACTGCGCTATTAATGGGAACTGAATGGAGGGATAGCCACGTGGTCGAGATATTATACATTCCTAATATTAAAGGAAAAAATAATAAATTAAGCTAATAAAAATAAATTACTATACAGCATTATTAATTTTTAATATCACTTTATTAGTCACTAGTATTATACACAGGATTAAAGGAGACTCACATGAGCAAAATGGCCACTTGCTGCACAGTTACTGCAGTATATTGTTTTAGATTGTTTCTGATTTTCAAGATGAACCAATTTAGTATCTTTGTCCTACAAACAGAGACGAAGTAGTGCTTGAACTTGTTATATCACTTACGGTTGTGTTGTGGAACTGACGCCATTTTTCTGGGCATATCTATAACAAGATAATTAAAATACCAGCTGTACTATATCATTAGAATTAATTAATGGACAATGTTGCATACTGCCCTTCTAGTGGGCTTCATTTTTCTTTTATTATACGTTCTCCTCTAGCCAATTTGGCTGTACTGTTTTAAGGCTTCGCAACATGTTGCCAGCAACATTTGTGGTTGGTTACTTTGATCTTGTAGTAAGCAACATGTTGCCAGAAATAGAAGGCTGTTCTATTTCTGGCAACAAGTTGCTTACAAGGTCAAAGTACCTTAAGCCTACTATTTTTAGCGTCTACTAAATTTAGCGATATTAGCGAGATAGCTTTAAATCGCTAAATTAAATAGACGCCAAAATAATTATTATTCATTATAATAGTTATTATTTATAGTTAATTTGGTTAAAAACGCTAAAATTAGTAACACTAAACATGACTTTTGCTGATTTCGTTAAAATTAGTAGAAGCAAATAATAGTAGGCTTAAGGTAACTACAAAGTTGCTAGCAACATGTTGCCTAGTGTATGGAGACCTTTATAATACAGAGTGCTTTGTCAACCGACAAATAATTTTTGAGTTATGACCATTTTAAAAAACGGGCCAATTTTTGAAAAATACCTAAGGCTATAATAGCCCATGGTTTTTTCCAAAAATCGGCTCCGAAATCACCCCAAATTTTTATTACATTTTCTGATACATATTGATGTACTTATGCTATGTAGAAAGTTTGAGCTGATTCCGACAAAAAATTTTCGAGTTATGACCATTTTTAAAAACAGGCCAATTTTTGAAAAATACCCAAGGCTATAGCCCATGGTTTTTTCCAAAAATCGGCTCCGAAATCACCCCAAATTTTTATTACATTTTCTGATACATATTGATGTACTTATGCTATGTAGAAAGTTTGAGCTGATTCCGACAAAGAATTTTTGAGTTATGACCATTTTTAAAAACGGGCCAATTTTTGAAAAATACCCAAGGCTATAGCCCATGGTTTTTTCTAAAAAATCGGCTCCAAAATCACCCCAAATTTTTATTACATTTTCTGATACATATTGATGTACTTATGCTATGTAGAAAGTTTGAGCTGATTCCGACAAAGAATTTTCGAGTTATGACCATTTTTAAAAACAGGCCAATTTTTGAAAAATACCCAAGGCTATAGCCCATGGTTTTTTCTAAAAAATGGCTCCGAAATCACCACAAATTTTTATTACACTTTCTGATACATATTGATGTACTTATGCTATGTAGAAAGTTTGAGCTGATTCCGACAAAGAATTTTCAAGTTATGACCATTTAAAAACAGGCCAATTTAAAAAAAAAATAGTAAAATGGTTTAAAATTGACTCCAAAAATGTTTTTAGCCAAATTTTGAGCAATTAAAAAAATTGCAAAAATTTTATTCTGACTGGAGTCATTGAAAATCTTCAAAAAAAAAACAACATGAGTAATTGAGTAGATGTATAAGCATTAGAAAACAATATAAAGATGGAGATATCTTTCCTAGCCATTTTTGATGAAATACACTGTACAACAGTACAGGGTCTTTGGCCTGATCTTTGAGCCAGAATAGTCTATGGTTTTTGGGAGGAATTTTTTATATTCATTACTCACAGCTTCTATATGTCCTGGCATAAAACACCGCCTACAGCTGACTCTCAGATTAGCAAGACCAGGCTTACAAGGCTGGAGAAAAAGAAGAGAGAAGGGATAGATAGAGAATAAAAGTTGAAGAGGAACAATAATAAGGAACAAAAAGAAGCAGGAAAAAGAGAGGAAAGGAGGAGGAAACATTATGAGCTACTTACTCTTCCTCTATGATTCAATTCAAAGCAGTACTGACACCTTGCTTGTGGGCACCTGCTGCACAAATGATTCACACTGGAACATAAATAGCAGGTAGGACGACGCTATAACCAAAAATACAATAATAATTAATAAGTAATGATAAGTAATGAATTGGTTCACGTGTAGCATAAGGGCACTTGTAAACATTTCTCTGAACTATTTTTGGTAACTCATAGCTTAAAGATAGTGCTCAAAATTGGCCCAAACTTTCTGCATATTTAATGATTTATATAATATTATTCTTTCATATTTACCAATGGATGTGGACAGACGGTAGTCAAGTGACCTTTCTGACGACAGTTCCCACACTTGACATTCGTTGTATTGTACCTCTTGAATCCATAACGATTATCAAACTCATCTCTGCCCTAATAAAACAAAACCGAGTATTGATTGTAACTAATGCATATAATATTCAATAATGATGATGATAAATAAATCATAATAATAATATATGAAATTTATACATGCACATGTAAGGTATAGCATTGACACAAACTTATTAATAATAATAATTATTATTATTATCATTTATTATTATTATCATAAATTATATGATGTAATTAGTTAGCATACCATAAAGACATACAATATTGGAACTGAAATAATTAACACAAGCTACAGGTAAACAAACAAATAAATAAATAAATAATAAGACAGTCAAGCAGGAGTAGTCACTAATTCCAACATAGCAACTAAACAAGAAAAGGATGCTATTAGGGTAGTCCAACATTCCTCAGAAGCACTTGCCCACATACTTTACTAACTGTTTGCCACAAAAATCTAACAGCATCACATAAATTACTCTTGCACAGGATGACATAATGAGCAATGTTACTATTTTTAGACGCAAATAAAAAGCAATAATTAACAAACAAACACATCATATTGAAAGGAATGCTTCACTATAATATTATTGATACTATTTGCTGTTATTATTATTATTTATTATTTATTATCATCATGATAAATAATAAATCTTCACGGTGAAAGTGCATTCAGTTTATGGACTGGCGTCATTGATAATTATCCAAAACAATTCAAACTCGGTATACAGTTCATAGACTAGGCATGACAATCAATAACATTACAAAAAAATCTGCTACACATGCACTTTAAAGAGAAGAACCACATGGGCTCCATCAAGAGTAGATAATAGTTGCATGTAATAGAGCTAGTACTCCTAAAGTGTAGCCTCTATAATAAGGACAAAGACACCTTTATAATAAGGACATTTTGTAATGTCCCAATTGGTACTTGCCTATACAAAAGTACCTCTGAAATGAGGACACCTCTGTATTAAGGACAGGTACTGTGGGTCCATAGCATTTTAGAATAAGATGGTCTGTATAACTCCATAGATCATGATTGAAGTTTTCTAAACATTTTTCCCAAATTCAATAATTACCACTGAAGTATACGGAAAGTGAATTCAATAAAAATAAAAATGACAAAGGTGACAGCTACAGCCAATGTACATGCATAAAAGAGTTTTAGGAGGAAAATAAAGAATGCAAAGAATCTAATTGGATATAAAGAGAGGCCATAGCAATGAATGATCATCACTGACTGGAGTAAACAAAATGGCGGTGATATATGCAGAGAGAATGACCAACAGCTGCTAGTTAACTAATTACTAAAACAGATAATAAGACTGGTTATGGTAAAAGTGAAAATATAACACTGGATGCTACTCATGAAAAGAGTGACAAAGCCTCAATGAGAGACATAACTTCAATCGTATTTACAACTAGACAGTTATTTATAACTCTAACCTATAACTTAAGTGCTCTCTCTCTCTCTGTCACTCTGTCTCCCTCTTCCTCTCTCTTTCTTCCCTCCAGAGAATGACTAAGCAATAACTATTATGATGACACGTACATGTATGGTATATGCAGGTGGAATGAAAATCCAAAAAAGGAAAGGGAAGGAGAGAGGGAGAGAGTGTGTGTGTGGGGTCTCCAAAATCACCTACAACACACTGAGGCATGAAGACATCAAAAAAAAAGGGAGACTTGATCTCTAGTTACGCAATATAAGCTAATTGATGGACTCTCCCAGCTAATAGAGTAAGAGTGACCTTATTGCAACATACAGTGGAGTTAAAAAAGGAAAAAGCAACATGCATCAATCTAAATATATTACAGAGAACAAAATAACAGGATTAAGATGCACATGTAGGACTAAATTAATGCATTACACATGCAAACACAAATAATAGTAATTAAGATATAGAACTAATGCAATACATACACACACACAAAATAAGCTTCTTATATTGTCTATCTCAGCAGTCATGACCATACATGTACATGTACACTGTAGAAAGGTGTCAGCTAGTAAAGCCAGTATGAGTATCAAAGTCTAAAATATAAACTGTCTCTGATGCTACAAGGGGAAATTACTCGAGTGATACTGACTGAGTTATTGCAGCAGTAGGATTGTTAGCTCCACTACTGCTTATGGAGATGAGTATTAGGAAAATATGTAAATAAATGAATCACATTAAGACCGCTGAAAAATCCAGGGGGAAAAAGAACGTCCCAATTATGGCCGTAGCATCAAATAGTTTACCAAAAACAAGAGAAGATATTAAATCACATAATTCACATGTTGTAAACAGCTAGCAGAGCAGAGAAACAGGCTGAGCATGTACAGCGTAACCATACAAGAGTATGTACTGGACTGTTAACTTATGCACGTGTGGGAATGTTGAAGGTTTTCAAGTAATAGGATTATAAATATAGAGCTAGAATGATGCTGCAAAATTTGTGCATGTGACTAATATTGCTGCATCACTTTTTATAAAAATATTAATCATCATCATCATCATCATCATCATTATTAATATTATTTATTAATAAAACTTACTAGCATATCTTTCTCTATAATATGCCAGTGATTGTCCTTATCTGAAAAAAGAAAGAGTAAGATGAGCATTAAATGTTTGATTACAGAGATCAAATATCAGAGCAATTGGTATCAAATATTAAGTGAAATCACCAATAACATACTGTATCCCATTACAGGTACAAGCTACAATAAGACACTTAGGTCATGGGTCCAGCTGCAATAAAACATAAAATGGAAGTGGTGGCTAAAAGTGCATGTAGAAACAGCTGCTGGAGTTACAAGGCACTTGAGAACAGTCATCAGGTGGAGTGCAAGGATTCAATAAGGAAAACAAGAAACCAACAAGAAGAAGAGAAGCACCAGCACCTCTAAACCCCGTCATATCCCAACGGAGAAGGTGTCAGCACCTGTGGGCCAACATGTCAAGTCCCTTTATGTTTTAATAGAGAGACCAGATACAACAAAAACAACAAGAATACACGTAGCAATGTTATGATAGTCTGTCCTCTCGGCTCCCCCTTCTAGAGACAGACGGACATTATTAAGAATTATCAGTGAATTCTATCAGGCATTAAGCCTTAGAGTGTGCCCCAATTCACAAGTATCCTTGGAATAACAGATGAAGGAAATACCAGGATGATTAAGATAAGGCTTTACTGAGCAATGTGCATAAGAAATACGTAGAAGATGTGACATACATGTACACCTGTATTATGTAATCTTAACACACTGCCTATGGGGCATACATGTACATGTACATGTAAATTATAAGGTGTACATGTACTGCAATCATATACATGTACATGTAGGTATACATGCCTATACATATGTATATTAATGCATATAAATTAGAGAGAGAGAGAAGAAAGAGAGAGAAGACATAATAGAAAAAGGAAGGAAGAAACAAATGAAGAGAGTACACACGCACTTCTACAACAAACAGATGCCACTAACATTGTACTCCAACTCCCCCCATGCACTCTCATGTTTTGGAAACAAAACTATAACAAATCTACTTAATGGTTATTTCTAAATTATTAATCATCAATCAGAGACACTTCTATTGATCAATAGAAAGAACGCTTTAACCTTATAAGGAGAGAAAAATAAACAGATAGAGCCTGTGATACGAAAAGACCCTCTCTCTCTCTCCCTCTTAATATTAAAGCCATAGGATGCTCTTAAAGTCATAAGTACATATGATACTACAAGTGAGCAGGATTAGCATAAAGACCATGACATGATCCTCAGTAGTTCCAATAGTGTCTGTGTATGATAAGGAAAAGGAAGCAAAGTCCTATGAATGCTTTTAGAGTAGCTAAAAATATGGAAACACTTCCATGCACTAATAGTGTGTACATGTATTGTGAGAGGCATAATGAGATTATGATGATTAGAACTAGAAAGTTTGACAAAAGAAACCTCTTGGAAGTTCTAGTTCTAAAGAAAACATTGCATCTGCCTTTCACTGTCAAGGAGAGAGAGGGAACTGCTACCAGCAGCACCTGTTGCTGTGGTACTTAGAGAAGAAATTAAGTGAGAGACAGCTTGAGGGCCTCTGCAATAAAAAAAGTTTCTCCGTAAGCTAATATTCCAAAGAAATACTATTAGCAAACAACTCAAACCAAGAAGGATGTAAAAGATTAAGATAAAGTTCACTATTAATTACTGATGGTCAAACTCAGAGGACATCATGATACAAACAAACCCACTCCTCCTCTTCTTCTTCATAGCATACAAAAGTGGAGTACAACTCCCTCCCAAACTGATAAGGAGAGCCTACCACTCACTGCCAAGGGAAACAACAAATCCCCCAATTACAAGATGAAGCGTGACCAATACCACTCAATTTACAAGTAGTGAAATACGATATCGCATTGTTATAGTAAAAACATGTCATTAAGCAACGGATGTACATGTGCATACATGTAAACAGACACACAAACACAGAAGACACAGGCACACGTGGAAGTGAGTAATACGGACACTCAAAAGCTGCAAAAAGGAAGGAGCAAGAAGGTTTTCGAAACTCTGATAAAAGAGAGCTGATGGAGGACCTTTATGTCAAGTGACATCACGTGATGTAAGAGTTACTATCTCACTGGAACAGGATGCATATTAACATTAATAGTTGTTGATAAAATGATAATTGTGTCCATTTGATACTGTAAGTTCATGTAAATGTAGTAAGAGGTTACTATCAACATATTACACACATACATTGTAAATGATTGCACAAGGGAGCTTCAGAAAAATTTATAAAAACTATATTTTATATTTTATTTTACTTTCCCGTTAGGGGATTTGAACCTGTATTTTCCATTAAATGTGTAGCATTAATGAGTGCATACATATACAAGGAAACACTGAAGAGAATTGCTCAAGAGGGTAGCTATAAGATGGGGTGGTAGATAACATGCAAATGATGTAATGACAATGTTATGATGACAGCCATGGCACTAAAAATAACAAAACTTCAATTGGACGGAGTCATCTGATGCAATGAATCACAGAAGAGGAGTCAGAGTAATGTATAAAGCGATTGGAGAGAGACAGTAGATGAATCAGTAAATTGAGTTTAGTGACTATAATGAATTAATGTTGGCCAATTATTCCAATTTAGACAATAACTGACTCAAATATTGCACAACAAACACACAATGCAGAATTAATGAGAGAGAAAGACTCAATAATTATCAATAACTTATAAAACTGAAAGACTTTAAAGAATGTTAACGCCACATGTGATTTCCTCAAAGAGAAATTACAGACGAGTTGAGTACAAGTTTATGTGTTCTATTACACAATTAGAGGCAACACAAAATAGTGGCACACACACAGGAAGGAAGAGTCATGCAAAGTAGGCTAAAGGGTAACTTATATATCAAAGACTATATATACACATCTTGTTAACATAACAACACTGAAGGATCAAAATTGATAACACACATGCACATGTACTGTGTGTAGAGGGCCACATGGAACAACAGCTGCTCCACAGATATTTAGTAATGGGAGAGGGTTTACCATTCCTGGTTAAGGCCATTATTAGATTAGTTACAGCTAATTGAAATGTTGTACATGTATGTGTACCTTTCTTATCCTTTTCTTTTCTTTTATTCTTTTCTCTTGTAGTGGCTGCCGGTCGAGTGTCGCTGTCACTTTCATCACTGTCACAGAGAATCATGAGATCCTGTGACTCATCATCATTAATCTGACCAGACTCTTTACTACTTCCTACATTATCAATACCAAAATAATAAAGAGGGAGAGAGAGAGAGAGGGAGAAGAGAAAAAGAGGAAGAGAAGAGAGGGCGAAGACAATAAACTTGAAGTACATTAGCACAATTAGGAAACTGACACACGTACTTAATACATAATTAAATTACACTTTAATGAACATACAACTTACTGTAGATACAAACTACAGCTATGGCTTTACTCATAGCCTGTACGTGTACATGTAGTACAAGTGCATGTTCATAGAGTATAATTGAGATAAGGATACAGACAATAGCAAAAGTGGAACTACAAAACTTATCCCATCATCATAAATAAGGAAACCAGTACGCCATTAACTTATTAAGAATACACAAACACTCACTCATTCATTCATGTACTGTTAGTACAAGATAAGTATTGTATACATGCACTAAAGAGATGATAATGGTACTTATACTCCACATTCATATACTATTAACAAATAAGGAGAAGCATGATAACAATTATATCTAAAAGGACTACAAACATATACAAAGTAGTATCAGTGGATAGGGGAGAGAGATTTGGGAACCAGAAAATGGTGAGGTCATAGTGTATGGTGTAGTGATGAACTGGATAGCCTAATTCATAACAATTGTAGCTAAAGGGAGAGAGAGAGGGAGAGAAAGGAGAAGGAAGAGAGAGAGAGAGAGGAGGAGGAAAGAGAGAGAAAGAAAGGGAGAGTGTTTAAGAGAGAGAGGGGAAAAAAGGAAAGAGAGAGAGAGAGGGAGGGAGGGAGAGTGAGAGTTGAGAAAGAAGAAAACATGCCAAGGGACAGTGGATGGGGACACTGATTAATGATACTTTGAATCAATCCCGGAACAGTAAGTTGCATTGATAAAATACTCAAATCCCTTAATGTAAACTGGAGTGATAAGAAAAATGAATCATCATCCCACGGAATGAACAATAAAAACAATAAAAATAAATAAATGTAAATAGAGACTAATCATAACTGCCTGATAATTGAACTAACATTGCCTTGTTTCATCAATATAGATAATAAATTAAACAGTATAATAATCAATACTAGCCTCTTTATTAGGAACACTATTGGGTCCCCACAATAAATATGTGTACAGTAGGTGTCCTCATTTCATAGTCTGTGCCTCACTTCTTAGAAGTGTGTGTTCTGTATACACATTCAATGATAATGATTAGCTTTAATATAAGTCCAAATTACACATGGACACATCATACATGCATCTACTAAGCATTACAGCATACCCCATTATTATAATCAGTATAAGCTAGTGCATGACCAATAAAACTGTTCCTGTTCTTTTTCCTACAGTAACTTACACTCCAATCTTAACAAGTTCACACCATACTGTAGCTAGAGGTGTATTCAATTGTACAGTAGTGCTGCTACAGTGTGTGTGTGTGTGTCTGTGGGAAGTACTATATAAAGAGTTCTGTATATATGTAACACACACACATATATACACACACACAGACACATGGAATTACTAGTAGAGTGAAGGAGAGAGGGTTAATGGAATAACAGAGAGGGAGAGAGACAAACAATAACTCAGCATTTCTTCCCAAGTTGCATTTTTCATTACATCAACACAATAAATAAGCATAGCTCAATGACAAGAATGTCAAATACTACAGGACAACATCACAACATACAACATGTCCCCCCATGCATGCTTCGATGGACACACACTGCAGAAGCAAGCACAACAACAATTAGAGAAGACATTTATGTACACGAGAGGTATGAAATTAATGCAACACAAATTGAAAGAGCTGCACTTGCAAGGTGCATGTGTAATGTAGATCCCCTCACAGTTAGAGTAGAGTAGAGTAGAATGCCATCATAACTGTGACACGAGGACGCTAATTGTAAATAAATACATACAAGTGGTATAAGTGTGATTAGCTGATTGTGATTATTAACAAGTTATTTTTTCCAAAAAGAGCCATGTGCATGGAGCAGCTGACCTGCCTCCCCCCAATACCTTTATATGTAATTAGTCCTGTCAGGATTGCATGGTGATGTCATTAGATATAACAAGGAGAGCCCATACATGTAACTAAATTAATTTGAGTCAGAATGAGTTCAAACTTTCTACATAGGATAAGGGTATCAATATGCATAAGAAAATGTAATAAAAATTTGAGGTTATTTCGAAGCTGATTTTCAGAAAAAATCATGGGAGTCTTGGCTTCTTATCAAAAATTGGCTCATTTCTAAAAATTCGCATAACTTGTAAATTTTAAGTTGGAATTGGCTCAAACTTTCTACATAGCATAAGGACATCAATATGTATAAGAAAATGTAATAAAAATTGAGAGTCATTTCAGAGTCAATTTTTTAAAACCATGGGCTATTATAGCCTTAGCTTTTTTCAAAATTGGCTAGTTGTTTAAAATGAGCATAACTTGAAAATTGAAGTGGGAATCAGCTCAAACTTTCTCCATAGCATAAAGAGATCAATATGCATCAGAAAATGTAATAAAAACTGGGGGTGATCATATTTAAACTATCAAAGCCAAATTTCTGACAAGTTAACTGCATGTATATACATGTAGATACATGCAGTTATTATGATAACAGGTAATAGTATTACTTACCATAAATATACACTGCAATAAGCCAACACTGCAGCTCATGACCAATAGCACCATCAGCAAATACACATAAAACCATACGTGTCAGTAAATGGTGTGGAAATGACTTTATTCAATAACTATACCACCATCAGCAAATAATGCATATTTATATGATCATATGGTTCGCATCTGCACGTGTGTATGTCACAAATTAAAGCATTTAGAAAAGCTAATTCAGCAGCCTGTGACCTTAAATTGATTAGTATTAACAGTAAATAAACAAAAGCAGGAATAGGGTCTGCCTTGTGACACAGTTTCTCTTTTAAGGACCAGGTTCAGAGCACAAACAACTCATTATAACACCGAAACAAACATCAGTGTACTAAAGATTATACACTCCTACAGTCTAATGTGACATCCTAATGTGATTATCAATAAGGAAAAGGAGAGCAGCTCTAATGAACAAAGGATGAGAGAGACATACTAAGGCCATTTAAAGAAGGGAATAGAGGCATATGACATAATCAATAATAATTAGTAACTGGATAATGGCTTTTACATGAAAGCTATCCAGGAAAAAAACATGACTATACGCACTAACTGCAGTCTCAGCAAACTCACCGTTGCTAGGCGAGTGTGCATCTTCTGCAGGTGTTGTTTTCATTGTAGGGCTGCCTGCTTCTTTATTCTCCTCCTCCTCCTTGTCATCTTGAGAATATGAGAAATAAAGATGAGCATAACATAGATCAGCTGTATCAGAATCAATCAAAGAAGAATCAGATAATGAAGAGGAATCACTGTCTCTATTGGGGAAAGACAGAGAAAGAAAGGGGAAAGAAAGAATGCATTATGTAGCAATAAAACTATTAATAAATGCTAATTATAGAATAAAGAGAGATAATGTATTATGTAGCAATAAAGTTATTGCTAATCATAAAATACTAGTATGGGAAGGAAGCAACCATACTAAAATGGAAAGGGAACAACACATAATTAGAAGAGAGAGAGAGAGAGAGATGATAGTAGGAAACGGAGACTGAAAATAATGAAATTAGCGAGCATTGTAGTAATAACATGAATGGTCTATGACTCATGCCTAATACTAACAAACAAATTATTCCCAATGTCTTGTATACACATACACGCAAGTGATATATTCTGACACTAACACTGTACATATGAATACAAAAATCACACTACGACACTACTATTGCGTTATATGTACATGTATACATGTACATACACGCCCAAACATGTCATTGTGTATTTAAATAACACGTGGTGTCTATTCTTTAGGAAAGACGGTATCGATATTCCCTGTCACTGGTTAGAAAAACACCAACCAGTGTTTTTGTTACCATTTTGAAGATGACTGCCACGGCAATAAAGAATGCAACAATAACAATAAATAATAATAATAATAATAATAATAATAAATAATAATAATGACGTACGCGTAGTTAATTAATTAATAATTAGGTGATAACATAAACATGTACATGTATCACGCTGTAACCATGAAGGTATGTTTCGTTGTTAATCACACAATAAGAGCCAGTACACATACAACTATTGTGATGTACATGTACAAGAGCATATATATATACCCTCTTTTGGAATGAGTTAGGTCACTGAAATCTGTGAAATCGCTTTTAAACAACAAAGACTCTGGTATCAAATTGCTCTCAATAGACTCGGCTGCTTTGGCCTTTTTTCGGCTTCTTCTCTTTCTAGATCTCGGCATGACTGAAACAGAAGAGCCCACACCATCAAATCACCCAACCAGAGACCAAAGAACATGCGACATTACTTTCGAATTTTCAATTTTCACGCACATTTGTTATTCTAAAAATTAGAAATATACGGTATTAAACTTCAAATGCAAGGGACTTACACAGTCAATTCTAAAGAGCCCCTTTTGATATTGAATAAATTGAATTTTACATTTTACACATTTTAAAGGATGCCCCTTCTCAAATGTTATATAAAGCAGACTACCAAATCTGGAAGTCAGTCATTCATAGCTACAGCAGCTCCAAAAATAGCTCTCAGCCTACAAGAATAATTGCAACAGTAATTAAACCACTCATCAACTACAACAGCATGTGTGCATCAAGAATTCTTAGCTCCAAAGCTCTATATATAGCTCTCCTATTTCTCTTCTCATCAGAATTATGGATCAATAGAGGGATAGCAGCTTCTCTTCCAGGACAATCAGTGCAAGATGAAACTTCAGCTAGACACCGACGATCATCATCAATAAGTACCGGCACACTATGTCTTCCTTCAACACCAGATGAGCTCAGCACACAGTTTCAATCACTGAAGGTCGTAAACAGGATCCAAATGGTACCAATCATGTACAAAGATGCACTCATAAACGTAGGAATGAGTGCTTATGTGAGTAGAATACTCAGCAATCAGACTCTTGCTAGATGCATCAAAGCTATTACCATAGATGAGGATTTGAATAGGTACCCACCATACTTGCTTGTTACTGAGTGCGACTTGGAGAAAGAAGGATGCAGTGATGTAAGATTGAAGAACAAAGTGCTAGCAGATGACATGTTTGGAGTATCAGTGTTAAAGAAAGTAGATGACAGCTGTGAGACAGCAACAGGGAAAGAGAAGTGGGCATATCATTACTTAGAAATGCCTCAGTGTGTCATTACTTCAAAGTAGAACTCTACATGTAATGTATTTATTAAATGGCTGTATTATCACTTCTTTTCATCTACTATTTTTAATACAACTATTTTTATACAATCTATAATTATTATGATATTATTTATTAATGTTATTTATTATTAGCTACTGTAATTATTATTTTAACAACTGCATAGTTTGTAATAATACTTGTACTACTTACTTTACGTTACCAATAGTACTATTTAAAATTAAAATTTAATAATGAACAACAAATCTGCTATATATGTGTAAGATAAAAGGCTTCTGCTTAATTAACTGAGAAATGTTATCTTCAAAAGCATTTGATTAGTGATGGAGGAACAGGCTACAGTAACATAGCTGATGTTCATATTAGGCTCTAGAAATTTATGCAGCTGCCTCTCATAGATGTACATGGACAAATGCAAACAAATGAAGCTATGGACTGCATTCAGCATGCAGGGAGGCTTTAGTTGTCAAAATCAATAACTTTAAAAACCAGTTAAAAAATTCATTTCATAATTTTATGTCAAACCAGGAACTCAAATTCTAAATTTCTTGTTACTATAAAATCATGCAAATATCACATTACATAAAGTGGAACCCATGATATAGATATGAAGGGGTACTGGGTCCAAAGTTCAGAAGTGACACGCAACAAACAAAATACATGTACACCATTCAGTTCACATCAGTGGGACATCAATACTAATTGATGTCATGCCTCTATACTGGCTGTCTGTAGGGCATAGATATTATTACTGTACGTGTAATGCTGTAGGTGTGTTAGCTTGTTATTATTAGTAATAGTCTAGTTCTTATATAATAACTTAATTGAATTAAACACAAATACAGGATGAGGATGTGATGCTTTATCAGGCAGTGGTTCAGTGATCAGTGATTCAATGAGCCTTTGAGTGATTAGGATGACCATGACATAAGCACAGTGCAACAATCTGTTCCTTATTAAGCACACTGCTATTGTGGGCAGTGCTAGAGAGATGATGATGTATTTTTATTTACATCAGTTATAGGAAGTAGGTCCTTATATGAATTTTAGTTTCGATATCAGTTTAATATATAAGAGAATGCATTTTACAAACTATATACAAACAAAATTGAGAAAAGAAATATAGCAAAGTACCTTTAAAACTAAGTCGAATCAATCTATTATACCTCTCTTATCAACATGACTTCTGCAACTAGATCTGGTCAACAACTTTCATCATCAAACAACAAAAACAGTTTTCATAACACATTATCTCCTATAGGCAGATTGTTTACATTTCTCTGTGTTGGAGTCATCATTTTCAATCTGCTCGTCACCGGTTGCTCATCCTTCCCCATACCAGAACATTCATCACAGAGGGACTACACACCTGATACCAGTAATGGAACAATTGCAGTGCCTCTAGATTCCCAACAGAATAACACTGAGCTGCCTCCTGTAAACTATTCTGCAGAAGAAAAGAGTGCACCATCTCCACATGGGCGTGTCTCGAATCCTGCAGGATCAGAATCAGCCAGCAGCAGCAACAAGGAAGGCTCTACCCTGAAAAGGCACGTCTCCACAACGGCTTCGATAATTCCTACCACAGTCGTGACGGTATCCAACCCCGAGGACCCATGCCAGCCTCCAAAGGAAAGCATAGAGAACCTGGAACGACTCGGAGTCGGGGAAGCAAACTATGCCAGCATAATGTCAATGAATGAACTGCTCCAGGACAAGCGCCATGATGATATGGACAATGAAACTATAGCAGAGAGGGGTAGTTATCACGTTTACACAAACTCCTACTTCCAATCCATTGGAGAGAGGAACTGTGAGGCCATGGAGCGCATACTCAAAAATTCATCACCAAAAGAAGTTCTCTGTCCATGGACTTACAACTGTACCTACGACCGAGAGAGATACCCAAAATACATCGTACAAGCCGAATGCAAGCAGGCAGAATGTACCAAAGGCTGCAACAGCAAAGAGAAGACACACTGTGCACCTGTGACCCCGTATAGAATGAAAGTACTCAAGGTGAAAAATGCTGGAGCTTGCCTTAATGGCAGCCCTGCTACATGGGAGATTAGAGATGAGTCAATACACCTTGGTTGTGAGTGTGTGTCATCCATATAACTAACAAAGGTGGTAAATTGGACTGTTTCTGGCAATTGACTATCAAGGTGGACTAAGTTCTTGAACATTGATTACAATCAATTAGCTTTTATAATAATTATTACAAATTTATTTATTACAATTTTATTTATTATTACAAAATGTTGGCATTATTGTACTTCACTTCACAATCTATAGTACTTACTCAGTTATTTATTATAATTATTATTTATTAATGTGAAATTGAAATGAATACAAAAATTACAACTATTAGATCTAGCAACAAATGACAATGCACCTTTTCAATAAAGATAGCAAAATAGGAACAAGAAATTAATAATCATAATAATAATCTATATCATAGTCAGTAATTCTGTTACTATTAATAGTTTCATGTCTCCCTTCCCTTCACCTTCAAATCTTCTTAATGCAAATCCCATATGCCCTTATGTCTTCTCCATTAGCTGTAATCCAGTACTCATCAAGATCTTGTGTTTTATCTTTACTAATCATTGTTGTGGTATCAGAATTAACGCGATTCTGAAGGACCATTACATATTCTACCCCACCATGAGAAAACCTTGTACCATACTTCTCGGCAACTGATACGTTTGGTGATGAGTAGTGACCCCGCCCAAAACGATCCCGTCTGGACTCGTGATCCAAAGCACCAGATCCACTACTAGATGCTAACTGGATCCCGTGGTATGAAACAGGCCACTCCCCTACACCAGACCTCCCAGTTGAGCCAAGCCATTTCTCGTCCCCACCATATTTCCCGAGTACCTTCAAAGCAAAGCGCCTCCAGCCACAAGGGCGCTTGTACTCATATCCCCCGCGATAAAACTTGCTCCCGGCATCATTGAGTGACGTAAAATCGTAATCATAGGATGGGTGGAGCAGATCATCATCAATATATAGGGAAGGGACGGAGCCACTCCCACCTCCAATGGGAGAGTCCTCATTGGGAGTGATGATTAAGCACAAGACGTCATTGCAGCCAATACCACGTTCCCTTAGAGGGAAATCAGGTGTGTCTGTGATTGTCGTTCCACCATAAATGAGTCGTACTTCCTCTGGTCTGTAGTCGACGTGAGTGGCAACAGCATCTTGAACGCAACCAATGGTCGTGTCAGTGGCAATGGGTACGCTGAAAGTGTTGCCTTGTAGAAATTTGATAATAACGTGTCCTATCGCTTTGTCTGGGCCTGGTAAAATGGTGGATGAATCAGATGGCTTTCCTTTCACGCGATATGTTAGCTGGAAGAGATCTTGCACTGTAAGCTTTACTGGCGAATTTGGCTTGTCTAGTGCCACCCCTTCAGCTAAAAGTTCAGCTTTGGTGGCTATTTTAGCCTGCAGCATCTCAGAGAAAGCAGATCTTATCAGATCGAGAGAAGACATATTGTGGACAGTGCCCCTGTAATAATGGGAGTCAGTGGCCGGGGGGCTTTCCCCAAACTCAATGAAGGTGTGGCTTAAAAATTGAGATCGTGAATTCTGCTAATCTCGCAGGTCAGACCCTTTTGCGAGACTAGATTTTGCTTGAAAGATAGCCGGTATGTCTGAGACCATAGATATCTATGCCAAGACTGAGACTACTAAAATTGAGCAACAAGTACAGCAGGTATGACTTTATGAGTCTGCTATTGCAGATTGCAAAATTAGCCTGGGCATCTGCATGCCTGCAACAGCATGAGGCTAAAGAAATCTTAACCTTTAGTTTGGGTCACATAGACTCTCGAGTGACGACTCCATTGGTGAATTTTTACAATAGTACCTTTCAATTTTGTTAAATCTAGCTGCAGAAACAGCCTGAAATTGCAGTTCTTTCTTTGTTATAGAAATGTGACAGTTATGTTAACCATATATGTGCATGCCATACATAGAAGTGATTAAGTATATAAGGTTAAGGATTTTAAATTATTCATCATCCCACATTATAGAATTGTACACAAGAGCCTGTTGTTACCCCAGCCCTTAAAGGATGGATAGACGCTAAAGTTATACAGCCAGTGTCTGTGGTGCAGGAAAAAGTAGATGAGATTAAAAAAACTGGAGACATTGATGGATTAAGCAAAGTTCAGATTGAGTTAAATAAAGTAAAGGAAGAATGTCAACGTCTAAATGAAAGAAGTGAGACACATAAAGAGGAGCTAAAACGCCAACACGAAGCAGATCATGCTCATTTCATTGTTGAAATTGCTTTGCGTGGTGCTAGAAGTGAGTTTCAAATAAATGAAGTCCTCAAGAGGCTTGATGTCTTGGAAAGTGAAAAAGAAAGAGAAGAGAGAGTAATAAAAAGAAAAAATCCAGTGCCAATCACCAACAGACCTATCTCAAAAAATGATTACAATGACAGGTCAAGATTGGATAGTGGAGTTAGCCTGAACAGTGTTAACAGTGTTAATATATAATGAATATATGCCTTTTGATTTTTCTGCTGTATAATTATGCATTCTTCATTTTTGTCTTCTACAAAATCATCTATGACAAAATCGTTCTAAGTTGAGCAACACCCGTACACGTGGAGGCTGGGAGCCCCGCCCAAGTTTAAGAATTTGCAAGGAAGAGGAGGAGTAGTGGGCTGTCTATCGGAAAATCAACCAACCAAGCAATACCACCACAAAGGGATCCTCTCTTTCTTCATCACCGTCTCCCTCTTTTGGAAGTATCACTCATATTTATACATCACTCCTTTGAACAATAAGTGACTAGCTAAAGGTACAGAGAGACAGAGGGAGAGAAAAGGGACATTAATCTTGTTATTTCGTAGTATAAACATGTCGAGACGGATAGGAACGATAGGAAGCGGTAGAGAGAGGAGCTCAAGTGGCGGGAACTATCCTTCACCAGGCCCCTCGGGACAAGAGAAGAGAAGAAGTAACAGCACTGTACTGGGTAAACTAAAGAACAAACTAACAAGACAAAGAAGCACTCAACATGGAGAGAGGAGAGGAGTGGACGACTTGCCACCTCATCCTCCATTATTAAAATCCAGTACACTTCCTGCTAGAATGGCAACTGACGATCATTACTCTTCCTCTCACTCCTCCTCCTCCTCTCATCCCATCCCTTGGGGTCTACCCGTCCAAGAGGATTCTCCCGGAACTGATGACGAGTCTGTTGATAGTGGGCTGGACCCAAGGGGCGGGGAAACAAGCAGTGACTCCTCCCCCAGAAATCAGAAGCTATGTAGCATATATGATGAAGTCTCGGTTCAACGTGCTTTTGGTCCCGCCATGAAGGACATTGGCCGATGGTTCTCTCAAAGACAGTATCTCTCGCTTTCCGAAGCTGCCGAAAACGATAGGCTAGGCTCACGCCCACCTTTACCCTTACCCCCGTCTCCGAGTCGCCATGACAACAACGCCCACAATAACGACACCAATCCGACCCCACTTGAACTGTATGGGAAGGTACAGCCGAGACTTCTCGGATCCAACGGACTTGAACTCGGACTGAGAGATTTAGCTCAATACGGCTGGTACTGGGGACCCATGACGAGACTAGAGGCCGAGGAGAGACTCACTGGGTCGTCAGACGGTACCTTCCTTGTCCGTGATTCCTCAGACGATCGTTACTTACTCAGTTTAAGCTTTCGCTCTCAGGGAAAGACCCTGCACACTCGTATTGAATTCTGCAATGGACACTTTAGCTTCTACAGTTTCCCAGACTCTGAAAATGAAGGCTACACATCAGTGGCTGAACTAATCCAACGGTCTATGCAGTACTCCAGTGTTGGGGTTTTCTGTTTCAGTAGGGCACGTACGATGGGCTCTCCTGCTGTTCCCGTCCGTCTCTTAAAGCCTCTATCGAGATTCTCCCAGTTGAGGTCCCTGCAGCATTATTGTAGGTTCGTCATTCGACAGGCAATAAGGTTCGACTCGATACGACACTTACCACTCCCACGACATGTTCACACGTTTCTGGAGCAATCACAGTTTTAGAGGGAAGGAGAGAGACAGTCATAGCTCCACTCACAATTAGCATAACCCTCAGTCTCTAATGTCTTTACTATTGACCTTTTATTGTCTAATGATGTATTCCCTTGATAGTAACCTCTCTCTTCTCTCTCTCTCCGTTAGTGGACATCCTTCCTTCTAATCAATCAATAGACATAATCTGAAATCAGCTTCTTTAATTATTGTCTCTCCTCACTGTATGCACAAGTGTGTATTTGTTTTGTGTGTTTACGTGTTTTCTCTTTTATGTTAACCTCTTTGAGTGAGCACACCATATTAAAAATTGTTGTGCATTTTTTATGATGGTAACGATAACAAAAGTACAGACATGTACATACTGTGACCTGCTGTCGAGCCTAACTTGGACACAATGAGAGTGGAACTGAAATGCACTGGCTACAATAATAATAACACAAGTAGTGCTAAGACTATCATTATTCTTATCACACTTGATTACTAGTGATGCTGTTGGTACTACTACACTATGCAGTATGGCTGCCTTAAAACTTCATTAAAAACATACACAGCAACACATTCACCAAAATACATGAGAGGTAGTTAACGTAACCAGACATAGGCTACATGACAATTATTATAGGATTATTCAACAGACGTGCTATTATTTGTTACAAAAGAATTAGTATGGTAACATGAAAGAATGCGTGTTATCGTGTTTAGCTGGATTCCATTCGGTCATTAAGTCTGCTTCAAAAGGCGTATCTTGTTCGCAAGTCTTCAAGTTTCTTTGCAACTTCACTGGGAGAGCGATCAAGATCAAGAGCTATCTCTCGTCTTTTAGAAGGATCAAGGGAATTATAGACCTCACACAAATCTCCATCAATGACAGACTAAGAGAGAGAAAAAGAGAGAGAGAGAGAGAGAGGAAGGATATGAAATACATGTAAAAGATGAGAAAGGGACCACAACGTGTGTAAATGGTATAATTACTTTAACAGGAACATAATAAGAACGAAAAGAGAGATGATCCCTACCAACAAGGTTAGACCACTCTGATCTCATGTGCATCTCAAGATGTTGAAAGAAATCAGAATCCTAAAATAACAAATAAACAAACGATTGATTCACTAAATACACAACAATATGAACTGAATCAATAACATAACACAGTAACTAATAGGAGCCATTAGGAAGGAAGGGAGAATGAGAGGGGGAACAGAATGCCACACTTATTTCAAATATTTTAATTACTTCTTTTGAAGAGAATGGAACCAATATACCTATGCTACCACTTAAAGTTGTGTAGACTAGTACTTCGGAGCCACCCGGAATTAGTGAGACCTTGTGCAAGGTGTTGATACCCTCCCCAACGTGATAGGACGTCATAACATTAGCCTATGAAGAGAGGGAAAGGGTCAAGGAGAAAGAGAGAGGTCATGGAACAATTCAACACTCATTTCCTTAAATGGTCATAGTTATGATAAAACAAGAGTGCCAAACACAAATGTATCCACAAAAGGTAAAATCACAAAAACAGGACACATACTTGCTAGTCTCTACACAAGATGGATACAGTAACACACAGTTTCTCATAAAGTATGCTTCACGAGCTGACAAGCACTACAATAGTACAGTGCATGGCTTTTGGAGCAACTTTAAAAATTCGTAAATAATCAATTTTGATCAGGAATCAGCCCAAACTTGCTACACAAGATTAGAACATGTATATGTATAAGAAAAAAATATAAAAATGAAACATTCTCTCTCTTAGCAATTTCTAAAAAACCATGGATAGTATTTTGGAGCCAATTTAAAATCCAATGACAAGAACCTCCATGCCAAGATAGAGCAAATTTAGGTCTAAGAGAATCCCAACTTTACCACAGAATACAAATATAAAAAATAAATAAATTTAGTAAGAAACCTTTTGGGTAGCGCCATTAAGGAACCCTCTGTCCCACAGTGAGCGACTCCCTGAAGGATCCTCATCAACCTGATCCGTAACGTCACTCGGAAGACGTAACTAAGAGGTTGTCACGGTAACAAGGAACCCCGCCCATCCAATCAAACTTACGATAGTAATGTTTCCAAATTTATCGGCACTGGCAACAGTATTGTAATCAAGAATACAGGAAGTGGTGCAGAATCTAACGAAATACAAACATGCAAGATAAACAGATGCATTAAACGTTAAAATACACTATCAGCCAAATCGATAGTGCCTAGCCACAAACATAAAGCTAAAAGTACTTTTTGCTTTTATTTTCAACAATTAAATAAATTAAGATTCATATGGTATAATCTCTAATGCACTAGAGTCTTACCTAGGGACTACCTCATCAGCAAATATCACCAGCTGGTTCTCATGTGGCCTGTAGTATAGGAAATGAACTGCTTCTTGAACATCACCAACATAGACACGCCTACCCATGACTTTAATATCAACCACCAAATATGGAAGATGCTACGTGGGCATTAATTAAAATAACTATAGTTACTAGGTGAGCGTGGTACCTTGTTTTCGCATTTCCTGAGCATTTTCTTTTTCCCGATATCATAAATACGAAGTAATTTACCAACACCTACCAACAAGCGACCTTGGAATGGAGCCATCGCAATAGGTACATCATCCAACTGAGTCTAAAGGAGAAAGAAAAAATAAAAAAGATAATCAACAATAACCTAAAGATGTACATGTAACACACATACTATAAAGTATACTAAAAATATACTAGCAATATACTAACAGTGTGGACATGCTCTAGTTTGCTGCCGTCGGGTGATAGTCGGAAGACAATGAGAGACCCACTGGATATGGCACGAGGAGTTATGATCATATCTTTAGCAGTACCCACGACCACAAACCACTCAAGATCACCTTTGGAAACAAACTGACAGACGGCAAGACTAGAAGAGAATATTTTTAAAAATAAAAAAAAGGAAATAAATAATGAAAAGAATAAGTATGTACCTAAAGGCAGCCTCGTTCTGTTCAAACTGTACAATATCCAGAGTCTTTCCTTGGTTTGGGTGCATCACCCTCAGGCAAGAGGCCCACATCCCTCGGCCAGCCTTAGGAGAACCAAACATATGCTCAGGAAGATCCTCAGCAAGAAAAGCCTCTGCCGCCTTAGCAGCTTCAGCCTTTTCATCATCAGCAGCACTCGAGACCATCTCCTCCGCCATCTGCTTCTTGCGGTGGAGTTTGGTGGCTTCGGTAAAAGCATTGTGATCGGTTTCAATCAGCACTAGATTAGACATGGGCGGGTGAATGAGGAGTTTCCTAGGAGTGTACTGGAGGGGCGTGGACACTTGATTGAAGACCACACCCAGTTTCTCAAGAGCTAAAATCCTAATGAATACAAATATACAAGTACATTAATTTCAATTAATACATGTACATGTACATACAGTACATTAATACATGTACATACATTCCCCAGGTACCTAAGAGTGTTTGATGATATTGCTACCATTCCTTCAGGGCACTGCTCTGAGGTAAATGATGATGCATACTCCAAGAGGTCGTAAGAGAGAGGAGTCAAATGGAACCGAGACTGATACGTGTAGTTCAACCACGTACGACTGGAGACTGCTATCACACCCTCCGTACCTTGAATACGAACGCGAAATAATTTCACAGGACGTGTACCGAGATACCTATAATTAGAAAATGCATAAAAAAAGGATAAACAGAAAAGGATATGGAAAATTCTACATTAAGTGTGCATTATATGGAAGAAACAGAACAAAAAAATTAAAGTACCAAATTAATAATATTTAAATAAAGAATTAACCTTGTTCTAGTATCAGAGAGGTCCCCGGTGACATTATCAAGAGCTGTTCTTAGCAAGACTCCATTTTGTAGTCCGATATTAAGAAACAGGCCACCAGTGGATACTGTGGTATCATCACTGACATTCCCACTCATGTTCACTATGCACAATGACTCCGGTAGTGCTGGTAATGCCTGCATGCTCAATGGCTGCAACGTGTCCTAACCAAATAAAGAAAATACTTCATTAACATGAGAATCGGATGTACTAATTATTATAGTGAATTTAGTAAGAACCTAAAACATTCAATAATGTCATTCTAAATAGTGACGTAATTATGTCATATTGCTAATGGGTTGGTTATAAAGTACATGCTTACGTGAGGATCGAGTGAGATGATACGAACTGTCTGATCTGAAAGACCCACAGCTAAGAACCTGCACCTCTGCTGGCCTGGAGGGACTGAGCCCAAACTGATACATATCACCTCAGCAGTCATCTCCTTCCTCTCTGTATATTCATTCAACTGACCAGACTATGGAACGAGAGAGAGAGAGCGAGAGAGAGAGATGCAAGTTACATGCAACACATGTACTATAGCTAGCGTAAGTGATTTTTATAAAAGTAGGCAGTGCTCAGATTACAAAAGCCGTTCAGTCATTTTAAAATCAGACTGGGGCGGCATAATAAAATCATCATAGCAACAAGCCCCACCCCTAGCAACCACCAGACTCACCTGAAATAAGTTGAAGACACAGAAAGAATATGTGACATAAAAAAGAGATACATAATTTTATAAATAAATATTAATATTAGAATAATTAATAAGCTAGCTCAGATAAGTATAGCCACTCATTCATTGTCTTCTCAGACTGGGGCGGCAAATATATTCATCATAGCAACAAGCCCCACCCCTAGCAACCACTCACACTTACCTGAGAATCAGAAGCAAACAGAACAATAGGAAAACATAAAAAGAAGGAAAAAGAAAATTATTTTAAAAAAAGTAAATTAATTTATATATAAAAACACTAGACTCAGAAATGTTAGCCATTCATCAGCTGATGATCAGACTGGGGCGGCATAACATACTCATCACAGCATAGCAACCAAAAGTCACGCCCCCTAGCAACCATTACTTAACCACACCCACCTGATCCATTTCAAAATAAACGATTTCTCCTCCGGAGAGAGCAATGACCACCTGATGCTCGTTGACAGCACACTGTCTGATCAACCTCTTACCAGGACTACGCCATTCATTGACACGCTTGTCTGACCTGATGTGTCTAATGCCCTCAGGGTATATCTATATATGGGCAAAGGAATAAGAATTGTACATGATAACAATTAGTCAGATGCTCTACAGTGTTTAAAATTAAAATTATCAGCACTATATACTGGTATTCTTTTTATCTGATTGCTTACATGCATATAGAACTGTAATCATACAGTACATGTACATGTACACAGAACAAACCAATGTGTAAATACAGTACAATTAATACACTAATCTTTAAAATACATGTACATGTATGTTAGTTAGTTGGTGTATTTTTCTTACCTGAATGAGTGCATCATCTCCCAGTTGAGAGCAGGCCAGAGTGGGCGTGGTCCCCAGGAACCCGGAATCAGTCACTTCCTCGACAGTCTCCCCAATGGAAAGAATGAGAGTGGCATTCATGAAGGAGACAACAATATATGAATCAAAATCCTCTAAAGAAAAATAAAATAATAATAATAATAATAATAATAATATACCTTTAGAGTCTTTCTTCACAGTCCATACGGCGTGAGGGTTGCCTGGCAACTCAGAGACGGCCATTTCAGTGACCTCAAGACCATGACGCAATACACGGAGAGATGAGCGAGGACCACGCCCACAAGCAGCGTATAATTGGGGTGTGTCTTCATTAGCAAGATCAGCAATCTACAGCATAATAAGAAATAATGACAATTAATAATAATAATTTCTTATTAATAATATTAGAAATTTTATCAAAAATTAAGAAAAAAATTTGTAATAATTAATACAAACTAACCTGGCATGACATTATTGGTGAGAGACTCTCCATCTCATCGACGAGTATGAGGTTCTTCAAGGGCCTTGGACCAAAGAAGAAGGTCTCTCCTTCTTCCAGTGGATAATCAGAGTGGAACTCTCTCTCCGAGTCGTCGCCTAAATGAGCTATTTGATACAAGTAGCTGGGAAGAGATTGAGAGCATGGTCAATGGGCGAGGCTTACTGATTTCCAAATTCAGACGAGCAAAATAATAATCCACTCTTGAGGACACAGAGTGAGCTGCAGACAGGAACAGTATCAAAATACTTAATCTTTATCCTAACAACCTGAAACAATGGATGATTATTATTATAAACACATCCAAATTAAACAAGTACAAGTACAAGTGCATGTACATGTAGTGATGTGCGTGTTAATCAACTCACTATGTCGTCTTCCACATCAAGCATCACCTTAAATATGTCGCCTTGCTCTGATTGTAAAAGAAAGAAGAACAAATGCTACAAAAAAAAAGAGATACTGTACATAGACTTCAAAATAATACTGAACTTTAAACTATACTGATATCACTCTCTCTCTCTCCACTAGATGCATTAAGACTCACCTTTGTCTTATGCATGGCACTTGTTATAATGAGCATGCTCCTGTCGGCATCATCAAGATCATTCTGCCTGCGAGGTATAGGGCAACGTATGTCAGGCTGGTCACCAAAGTTCTTATAAATGATATAGTTCTCACAGCAGACCAGCACACCACTGGGGCCATCGGTACCACCAGGTACTATAATAATAGATGAATAAAATAAGAATTATTATTATACTCTTAGACAAAGAATGTACATGTGCATATTTATTTACATGTACATGTATGCATGTAAGATGTTAATTTTTGCCTCCTCACCGGTTATGAGCATGTTGGCCATGTCATCGAGTGGCTCACTGTATTTCCTTACAACATGATTGAGACCCAAATCCAGCTCATAGTAAGTCAAATTCTAATCAAAAATATAATAAACCGACTGACAAATAATTATGATTTTCCTCCGATCAAGTTTGATTCTCCTCCAATCAATTATGATTCCGATCAAGTTTGGATTTATTATGAATTTTAAAAGTTACTCCAAAATCGGCCCAAAGTCCCTGTACTATAGTACAGGGCCTTCAGCCAAATTTTGTCAAAAATTAAAAGGAGAGAATTCTTCATTTTTATAATTTTTTCTGATGCATATACATGTTCTTATGTTGTGTTTCAAGTTTGAGCTCATTCCGATCAAGTTTGGATTTTTTATGAATTTTTAAAGTTACTCCAAAATCGGGCCAAAGTCCCTGTACTATAGTACAGGGTGTTCAGCCAAATTTCACGAAAAATGACTAGAAGAGAATTCTTCATTTTTATAACTTTTTCTGATACATATGCATCTTTTAATGTTGTATATCAAGTTTGAGTAGATTCTGATCAAATTTGGATTTTTCAGGAAACTTTAAAGTTGCTCAAAAATCTCGTCACCATTAATCACCTGTTGTGCAACTTGTGCTGCCTCTCCAGTGTGATCATTGTCTGACTCTTCATAATCCAATTCAAGACAAGCAAACAAAGGATTCTCAAACCCGACATCGACCCCAACCACATGATAGACTAAAGTATGGCTCTTGTGTGCCTCCAGTGGAGAGGATATGGTCAGACGAGCAGCAGAATCACGATTCAATATGTACACCAACTTCTGCTTCTCTACTGCACCTGTATAAAGAAAGAGAACATAATATAAATATATATACATGTATATAATTAGCATTCCATATTGGTATTTTATCCCCTACCTATCATTAAAGCACGTCCTTTAGGGTCAACGGCAAGGTACTGTCCTGGTACTATCCTACGGCAACCACTTTTACCGTATGTTTCCTGGTGGACTTTCTCAAAGACATTCTTCACAGGATCATATTCTAATATAACAATCCTGCCAGAGTCGCTGCCCAGGACAATGTAATCTGTAACGGAGACAAAGAATGAGCGAGTGTGTTTCAAGATAAGGAAAAGAAGAGAGAGGCAAAGAAGAAACAAGAAAGTTAAAAATAATAATTAAATGTGCATTAATTAGAATGACTTGTGTGCATTAATTGGAATTATTAATTATGAAGAACCTCAGTGCATTTCTAATGCCTGTAGCTAACCTTTAGTGCTCCCAGTCAATCTAAAGGTAATTAAGGAACGTATTAAACCAAATACTTCTGTTGATACCAACTCGACTACCTTTCCTGTGTTTGGGTCCGGTCTGAGCAGCTCCAGCACCTTCCCTCGAGCCACTACAACCTCTTGTGCCTTCCTACCACTAAAGTTCCCGTGAACGGCCGCTGTAATGCATGATGGCTTCTGGAGAGTGAGGGCATAAAGATGCATGCTGTTTCTTTGATGGCGCCCTTGCTCCGGACTCTGAGCATGCGCAGTAAAGTGTGGAGGGTAATGTGCGGACTTGCCACGTGGTTTCCGTATAGTCTATCTAGCTAGACTACTTCCGGAAATTGTATTTCTAACACCCACTGCCCCATACAATTACAACTCAGCAAGTTGGAACATTAGCAATGGGTGGAAATCTCTCTTTCCCAGAAGCTGATTTGAAGGATAAAGTGGCCATTGTAACTGGTGGTAATGCTGGGATAGGATATGAGACAGCTAAGGGAATAGCAAGACTTGGAGCACGCACTATAATAGCTTGTAGATCAGAGGAAAAAGCAACTGCTGTAAGTAGATCATTAAGGAATAAGGGATGGGACTGAGATAATTTGTATTATTTCTCCCCTCTCAGGCAATTGAGCGTATGAAGGCTGAGATAATTGATACTGGATCAGATCAGCATAACATTGAGTTCATGAAGCTGGATCTGAGCTCATTCAATTCTACAAAAGAATTCGTTGTCTCATTCAAAGAGAAACAATTGCCATTGCATATTTTAATCAACAATGCTGGAACAATTGGCTCCTCTAATATGTGTAAGTCTTCCTTTCTCTCTTTCTTTTACGTGTCTTTGTTTAGCTAAGACAGATGATGGCTTTGAATCTATGTTCCAGATCAATCATCTCAGTCACTTCCTATTGACACTGGAGCTGCTCCCTGTTGTGCTTGATACTGCTCAATCATGTAAAGACTGTAGAATTGTCATAGTCTCTTCAACGGCTCACAAAAGTGGTGTGTTTGATACTCAAAACATGAATGGAGAAGTGTCTTTTTCCCGTTTGAAGTTTTATAGCAATTCTAAGCTTTACAATGTAATGAATAACAAATAGCCCAATGCTTCATTATACATGTATAGATAATGCATGCATTTGCACTTCAAAGACGCCTAAAAGGGAGTGATATAACAGTTTCAGTCCTCCATCCCGGATTTGTAAGCTAATAATACGACCATGATACATTGATGATTCCATAATTACAGGTTAATTCCGAACTGTTTGAAAAAGGTTTCAGCGGATCAAGTGGAGGAAGTACAGCTTGGAGTTTTGGAAAATACTTACTTAGACGTGAGGATGATAACATCAGAGGGAGTATCGTTGCTTATGTATGATATTTTTTCTTTCTTTTGTAGCTATGATGAGAGATACTGTCAAAGGTGCTGCCACAACCATTAATTGTGCTGTCAATCCTGAGCTGAATACTAAAGAGTGTCATTATTATGACAGCTGCAAAATAGCCGATTCAATTCCTCTGTCGACGTTAGTTCTCACTATATGAGATATCATATTGTTTATATATTTTGTATATTGACTATAGGAACACTGATCTACAGGAGCAGTTGTGGGATATCAGTGTTACTAATGTTAAAGCTTGGTTGAGTCCAGAGATTGTTGAAAAGTATTGCAGTACCCAGCAAACAGGGCTTGAAGAAGCAACATCCGAGACACAAACCACTAGAGTCAATACTGAAGAGGGATCAGCTACTGCTAAAGATGAATCAGCCGCTACTAAAGAAGAATCAGCTACTGCTAAAGATGAATCAGCTACTAAAGAAGAATCGGCTACTGCTAAAGATGAATCAGCTACTAAAGAAGAATCGGCTACTACTAAAGATGAATCAGCTACTAAAGAAGAACCGGCTACTGCTAAAGATGAATCAGCTACTAAAGAAGAATCGGCTACTACTAGAGATGAATCAGCGTCTAAAGAAGAATCAGCTACTAAAGATGAATCAATCACTAAAGATGAATCGGCTACTGCTAAAGATGAATCGACTACTCAAGATGACTGAAATGATTAAATGATACTGAACATAATGCATATTTAACATTATTACTTCTAGTCTATATAGAGCTGCAGATTGTCTGAATACCTTTTTCATTATTGTAGCTGATAGTAGCAGTATAATAGAGTATAATTACATTCCACCATTAATTGAGTTAATTATCACTGCATTTTATTGGTAGCTATGGGGGGAAGTCTCTCTTTCCCAGAAGTCGATTTGAAGGATAAAGTGGCCATTGTAACTGGTGGTAATGCTGGGATAGGATATGAGACAGCTAAGGGAATAGCAAAACTTGGAGCACGCACTATAATAGCTTGTAGATCAGAGGAAAAAGCAACTGCTGTAAGTATAAAACTAGATCTACTATTATTAAGGAATAAAGGATTAAACTGAGTATTTCTTCTCTCTCAGGCAATTGAGCGTATGAAGGCTGAGATAATTGCTACTGGATCAGATCAGCATAACATTGAATTCATGAAGCTGGATCTGAGCTCATTCAATTCAACAAAAGAATTTGTTGTCTCATTCAAAGAGAAGCAATTACCATTACATATTTTGATCAACAATGCTGCAGTTGGATCTGTACCTCTAAGTAAGCCCTCTCTACTCTGATGTAATTTTCAACCCCCTCGCCCCGGCTAGCAATGACAGAGGACGGATATGAGGCTCACTTTCAGATCAATCATCTCAGCCACTTCCTATTGACACTGGAGCTACTCCCTGTTATGCTTGATACTGCTCAATCATGTAAAGACTGTAGGATTGTCATAGTCTCTTCAACGGCTCACAAAAGTGGTGTGTTCGATCCTCAAAACATGAATGGAGAAGTGTCTTATTCACGCTTACTGTTTTACTGTCATTCTAAGCTTTACAATGTAAAAAAAATTCTCTTTTTTAAATTTAAGATTTCTTATAGGTAATGCATGCATTTGCACTTCAAAGACGTCTAAAAGAGAGTGATATTACAGTCTCAGTCCTCCATCCTGGAATTGTTAGTTAATGAGCGAATCTGTAAATTTTTACAAGTTTTTAAATTTGATCAGATTAAGACTGAATTGTTTGATAAAGGATTTAGTGAATCAAGTGTGGCCAGCACAGCATGGGGGATTGGAAAATTTTTACTTGGACGTGAGTTTCTACTATTCTTTTTACAATTATTGTTCAATTTTTTCCAGCAATAATGAGAGATGCTTTTCAAGGTGCTGCTACAACCATTAATTGTGCTGTCAATCCTGAGCTGAATACTAAAGAGTGTCATTATTATGACAGCTGCAAAATAGTCAGTTCAATTCCTCTGTCAATGTTAGTTCTATGATGAAATATGATATTGTTTATATATTTTGTGTATTGATTATAGGAACACTGATCTACAGGAGCAGTTGTGGGATATCAGTGTTACTAATGTTAAAGCTTGGTTGAGTCCAGAGATTGTTGAAAAGTATTGCAGTGCCCAGAAAATAGGACTTGAAGAAACAACACCCGAGACACAAACCACTAGAGCCAATCCGCATTGTACTGATTCTACTGAAGAGGAATCGACTACTACTAAAAATGAATCAACTACTAAAGATAAATCTACTACTAAAGAAGAATTGGCTACTAAAAATGAAAGATGAATCGTCTACTAAGGAATGAATCTGCTCACTTAAGCCCAACATACACCACAGGCAACATGTTGCCAGCCTTTGATCTTTCTTTCAACCTTGTTGAAAGGAATAGAAAGGTTTTCTATTCAAGGCAGCATGTTGCTTGACCAGATCAAAGCATGATCAAAGGCTAGGCAAATGTTGAAAGCAATATTGTTGAATGTAGTGTATGTTGGGCTTTAAATTTTTTTCCTTCTATTTTTATTAATTATTAATAATAGTAAATTAACTTTAATATGAACATTATTAACTTTAGTCCGTTGACAATTTGATATTTTCCGTATACTATAATCATGAGTACAGAGGAGAGTGCCAGTGGTAGCTATTTCGGAGTAACAGAACAAGAATTGGAATTAGCACGAAGTGCCAAAGAAGCCTTTGACAATCATAGGTAAAACATACCTCTCACCTACAAAAGAACCTGTTTAATTCATCCAAAATACTGCCAACACACACTTTACTGCTTAAAGGGTTAAAAATAGATAATGTATATTGTAATTGCAGATATGAGAATTGTCTCTCAGTTTTAAAGAAACTGGTTGAGTTACGTCGGGAAGATGCTCGCGTCACTCACAATAAAGCCGTTGCTCAATACTTGCTCTCAAACTTAACTAAAACTGACGAGTTTAGGAGGACACTGGAGTCGGTGGAGGCTCAGTTTGAACACGATGCAAAAGGAGGAGGGAGTGAGAGTGTGTCCCCAATAAGTGTTACCGAGAAAGGTGTACTGCTCTTCAATAAGGCACTCATTCATCAGAGGGTATCATCTTCTAAGCATTATGATTGTATGTTTACTCCCCCCTCTCTCTCTCTCTTTCCTCCAGTTACATCAGAACTCCAAAGCAAGAGTGATATTAGAGCAATTATTTAGTGTCTTTGAAGCATTACGTAAGTACATGTTAATATATATATATATATATATACATGTACATGTACATGTAGTAGTACTGCATGTACATATTATTATATTCACCTCTTAATTACTTGTGTTTTTGGTTGTGAATTTGTGTGATGATTATATTTACTTTTAATTTAACAAATGAATAATATTTATAGTATAATTACATCTGATATTCTTTTATATTTTGTAGCTAAGCATTTAGGCGTTCAGGTCTGTCTTTTATTAACGGAGGTGTATGTGAGTACTTACGAACTATCAAGAGCTTCGGATAACATTGAAATACTTGAGAGAAGACTCTTTGGTGGGTCCCTTAATAACGGAGGAGGACGTGGAGATAAAGAAGGGGATGGGCGTGGCTCTAATGACATGGACAAGCACAAGGCTCAACTCTATCAGGTACTTTAGTTGTGAGTTTGGTTTCCTCTTATCTGATTGGTCAGTTTCGTGCGAGGCTCAACCTACTTCACAAAAACATTAAACAGTGCAAGAAAGAAGTGAAGAGCCTTACGGCAATAACTGGACCAGTAAGCTAAACCCGTTTGAAAATTCATTTTTAATCAAATTTTATGTACATGTACTTTTCTCTCTCTCTCTCTCTTTCTTCAGACTGCATGTGGTCAGTTTCTTAAAGCTAATGTTGAGTTTCTCCGAGGCAACTACATGAAAGCCTTCAAGGTCCTAAGCTCCGCCCCAAAGAACCCGATAGTCACTGATGCTGGGGAGTGTCTCAGCTCATTCCTCTTCAATGATATCGGCTGCATTCACTTTGAATTAGGAAAGTACAACCTCTCTGCTCATTATTTCAAGAAAGCAATAGAAGAGAACGATGCTGCTCTTAACGGCTATCCGCCACTCGATCGCTGTAAGTAAAAATGAAATGATTTTTTGTGTAAATGGGCGTTAATATTCATTTCTCTTAGCCACGCCTCTTTCTGGTCGCCCACTCTCAATGTTGGGCGTTAACTGTCGTCACGTCTTGTTGTATAATCTTGGCTTGCAGCAGCTGTATGGTGGTCACCCCTGGGGTGCATTTGAATCACTGCTGGAAGTTGTTCAAGTGTTTCACGGGAACCCTCGTCTATGGCTAAGACTCGCCGAGGCTTGTATTGCCGCCCACGCAAAAGTAAGTTCTAATTAATGCTCACAATAAAATTTGATGGTTTTTTGTATGTTATTCATTTTCATTATAGAGTCAGGAGGAGCAGGTCCATCAGATGAGGAACAAGAGCAGTACGGTACAAGTTGTTTTGGGTAGCGGTCCTCATCGTAAGCTGATAATAACTCCAATGCAGTGGCCTGCTAAGAAGAGGTAAGGCTCCTCCCACTTTGGGGGCGTGGCTTATTAATTTTTTGCTATTTTTTAAAGCCCGGATATTCAGTCAAACAGTGCTGCTATGCCAGGGCCCACATTAGAATTTGCTTCAATTTGTTTGCAAAATGCTCTGTTCCTCCTTCCTTCCCTACCTCAGTCAAACGGTGATGAACCGGAAGATGAAAGGATCCTACCCACTGTCAACGCATTGCCAGGGCCACCAATCAAAGGACAGAGTATACTAGATTTGAAGTCAGTAAATTATTTGTTTACTTGTAATTAAATGACTTTTTTCTGACATCACAAAAATTTACAGTAGCTTGATTGTTATGCCATTATTATCATTATCCGTATTACATTAGGAGCTGTATATTATCTTGTAAGGCATATGTGAGTCTTGGATTAGGTGATCCAATAGTTGCACTAGGAGCTGCTAAACAATTACTGGATACTCCTAGACTCCCCGGGGGACTCAGGTAATAAAGCCAAACTCACCCCCAATTCTTATTACATTATCTGATACATGTACATATTGATGTCCCTATACTGCGTAGAAAGTTTGAGTTGCTTATTTTTAGTTATGATTGCTTTAAGTATTTAGTATTGAGTACCCTTTACTTTACTATTTTCTATTTTGTTGTGAATGCATGTAGGTATGTGGCTAAACTGTACCTTGCAGAGAGCTACATTCAAATGGGTTCCATACAAGAAGCACTTCAGCACTTGACGCCAGATATAGTCACAGACTTGGAGATATCAAGAGTACCTCTTGGTACGAGACAAGACTTTAAGAGAATCACTTTATATATATATATATATTTTTTTTTTTTAGTTAATCCTGAAGTTGAGAGGGTTGAGCCTCCAGCCCCACGGCCGACATGTAAGCTCGACCCACATAGCCTGTATTTGTTACACAACTCCATTTCTTGCAGCCTCTGGTGTCACTGGTTTCCCTGGTAGCATATCTGACGCCAAGGCAACCCTCCTACTCAACCTATCCTCTGTCTACTGCATGCAAAAGGATTATGAATTGGCCAAGAAGGCTCTGTATCAAGTGAGACTGCATATAAAGACTATTTATTTATTTATTTATTTATTCATTTATATTTTGCTGTTATATTCATTTCATTTCACAGGCCATTTCAATACTTGGTCCTGTGAAGTTGCCTCGACAGGCTATTCTGCTATCAGCTTATGTAGAGATAATGACAGGTAGAGATGCATGTATTCTTCATATTTATGTTTTAGGTTTTTTTTGTAAATGAATCATAATATTTGTATGCTGCAGGTAACATGTCAAAGGCCATACAAGTAATAAAGACTCACAGACCTCTGGTCCCAACTCGTTCATTATGAGAGAATGATTGAGTCTCACTGTTATTATAGTTTTATTGATAATCAATGCAGAACTATTTCGCTTTTGACTGTTATGAAAATACTCATAAAACTCAGTAATTAACGTACAGTCCCGCCCACTTTGGCAGGAAGGCTAGGGGTGGGCAATGCTAAAAATCTTTATTTTGATATGATAATATCGCTACACTGGTCAATTTTAGTTCATAAATTTGATATGATAAGGGAACATAAATTAATTGACTCTAATTAACAGTTATAAGTTTTAATTATGCAATGATGATTGAGAAATAATACATCAAGAATGATCAAAACCAAAAAAACACAAATATTTGATTGAATAAATATAATATAATTTGAGTGATAAATGCTGAAGATAAATATTGATATTGATGAATAAATGCTAAGAGAGAAAAGGGGCAAATAACAATAATAATAATAATAATAATATAATTGATTTCTATAATAATATTAATAATAATAATAGAGAAACCTGTTTTGCCAGTCCCACTGTTTCTCAAAATAATAAAAATCATATATATATATTGTAATTATCACTATTGATCATTTTGTTATTGAGATGATTGTGCATCACTATTACTTTCCTCATCAGAATCAGATTCTTCCTCTATCTCTTCATCATCTTCAGGTCCATCATTATCTTTACCAGCTTTCCTCTTTGCTCTCTTATTACAGAACCAAACCCGAACAACTTCAAATCCAATCCCAAGCTTCTCTGATATGGCTTTTAAATCTTTTGGAGACGGCTTGGGGTCGTTTTCAAACTCTTTCAAAAGCTGCTTCTTGGTCTGCACTGATATAGCTGTCCTACCCTTCCTTTTTTGATTGAAACTGGTCAGCCACCGACTGAGTTGTTTAATCTCGGTCTCGTTTATTCCTTGATTCCTAAGAGCGTCCAGTAACCATTTCTCCAAGTGAATCTTCATAGCTAACATCTCTTCAAACGAGAGAACCTTGTTCTCAAACAGCTGCAGTCGCTGCTCTGTCATTTCAAAATTATACTGAATACTTATTTGTTGAGCGACATACTGTTTTGAGTATTCATATCTAATACGACTCTCCTTAAACTTATCAGCAAATAAATTCAGTATTCTTATCCCTTCTGTGTCCACATTACGACATGAAGCTCGAATCGGTGAGTCTGAAGAATCAGGATTAGGGCCTGGAACAGGAGTTGGAGCAGTAGGAGGAGGAGGAGGCTGTGATAGGATAGGCTCTGGTACGTAAGGAGTGGAAGGGAGAGAGGAGAGAGGGGAAGGAGGGAGAGAGGAAACAGGAGTAGTAGGGACATCAGGTGAGCCTTTGCTGCTATTATCGTTATTAGCATGTGGTAGAGAAACTGGTATCAAAACCTGCTTATTCCCTGTGTTATCCTTCTTCTGCAACTGATGGATTATTGGAGGAAATACAATATGAATTGGTTTTGCAATGACTGGTTGACTAAACTCAGTCTGTGGTACTAAAGATTGATGATACTGGGGCAATAGATGACGAACTACTGGTTGCTGTGGCAATTGTTGCTGGGGTAATAAATGCGAATAAACGGGTGGAGCCTGATGATAGAGCAATACTTGATCGAAAGATGAAGGCTGTCGCTGGGGTACTGGTTGCTGTGGTAACTGTCGCTGGGGTAATGAATGCGAATAAATGGGTGGAGCCTGATGATAGAGCAATATTTGATCGAAAGATGAAGGCTGTCGCTGGGGTATTGGTTGCTGTGGTAACTGTTGCTGGGGTACTGGTTGCTGTGGTAACTGTTGTTGGGGTACTGGTTGCTGCAGTAACTGTTGCTGGAGTACTGGTTGCTGCAGTAATTGTTGCTGGAGTACTGCAGGATGTTGGTGGAATATGTGTAAGGGCTGTGGCTGATTATTTGAATGCAGTCGACAATAATTGTTAGCAGGATGATGATGAACATTTAATGGATGCTGTGGATACTGTTGGAGTGGTGGTTCAGATATAAACCGGTAATGTTGGTGCTGTTCAATATGAGGTCTATCATAATGTACCTGGTACCTGCATGAAGGACGTAAAGGAGGAGTCACTGAAGTGTGTAATTCTGCTAGTGATAATGGCTGACTAGGTACCTGGGGTACATAGTACGAAGAAGAGACTATTGAATGTGAGTGAGGTCTTTGCTGTTCTAAATTGACCGTATGATTAGAGTGACTGACATGATGATGCAGAGGAACTGAGTGAGATTGTAAGTGTTCTTGAGTCTGACCACCAGCAGTAGCGGCAGCTTGAGCTGCATACATCGCATCTAGATCTGCTGCAAGGAAAGAATCCAGATTAAAGTCTGTATCATCTAGATCTACTGCGGATTGGTTATGTGATGAATGCGGGATATCCTCTGACTGTCCATGCTGTGGATCATGTTCAGTTAAGTCCGGTGGCCATTCCTGCGAAGCAGAGCTTGCCACGGGGGGCTGAGGCGGATGGTTGTCCATTAGCTGTTATGATACAAAACTGAGCGGTTGAACGGTGGACGACTAGTGCCTCTTCGTCACTTCACTTCTCCTGATATTCTCGCGGATATTCTTGATGGTACCAACTATAAAATGAGAGAAATGTAATGAATAATAAGTGAGGCTTTCCAGGGTTTAACAAGCTGTACTGTTGTCATTCTATAGTGTCCTTACCCTTAAAAGCTGGCCCTTTAGACTCCAGAAAGGCTTAGAATTTAGAAAACGTGCAGGCTCTCTCACCTTCAACACATTACCACGTGTGTGAGCCGACCACGCCCACACACTACTAATGCATTTTGTTTTTACAGGACAAACCTTTTCAACAGTTATAATAATTTCTTGTAATAATAAAAAATCAAATCTAACATTATCATTATCATTATTATTATTATTATTATTGTAACTTATTGTACATTATTGTTGTTGTTGGTATTATTGTTGTTGTTGTTGTCATTATTATTATTATACTGATGATTAAAAAAATTAGTATTATTATTACTATTATTATCATTATTATTATTATTATTGTTGTTGTTGTTGTTGTTGTTAGTATTATTATTATTATTATTATTATTATTGTTATTATCAAGAGTCCATTATATTTAGGACTCTTGTTATTATTAATAGTGATCATTCATAATGTTAGTGTGCATTGTTATCATTAATTTATGATATGTATTACATGTGTATTAATGACATCAGTATTATTATTGTTATTATTATTATTATTATTATTATTATTCATCGTGAGAAAGATAAAAGAGGAGGACTTCAAAGCCGAACCCGGGACCTTGGGGTGACGTCTGTATAACAGCAATATAAACATGACCGTATAAGGTCATGACGAAAACGTCATGTTCTTTAAGCACCGCTTTGAGATCTTGGCTCAGGTCAAGCTCATTCTTGATCTTGGGTAGGCGAGTGATTGGTACTGAAAATCTAGAATGGAAATAAAAAAGAGTTACAGATCTTGCCTATCTTCAAGCATCTTATGTACTTCTTTACATAATAACTATTGACTTAGTGGCATGTTGATTCATTAGCAGTTTAAGACTGGGTTTACACAGCAACACAAAAGCACTGCCGGAAACGGATCCAATTTGAAGACCAGTTTTCCTGTAAACAGAAGCATAAAACAGGCACAAAACTAGACAGATTGCATCGGTTTAGTTGCTGTGTAAACATAACCTTTAAAAGTACACAGGCGAAAAATTAATACATATGCCATGCACCCTAAGGCAAGTTAATGCAGACGCACAGTCTGACCTGTTATATTGACTTTGACATAGATTATAACTGACAATACAATGAACCATACGCTACAGTGTCATTATTAGGCCAGTTGGTACCAGTATATATACATGTACTTGATAGTAAAATGTCACTGCAGTATTATGATCATTATATTAAACAGAGACTTTTAAAAGTGTTTATACCAGAACTAATATTCACTATCACAGTGTTGATGTAGTAAGAACAGTTGTGGTTGGATAACTAAGCAGCACTGGTGCATGCCAGTCTGGCACTATATTAAGAAATCTCTCACCTTACCTCTTTATAATGCAATATCTACACTTTCTCTTTTCTCTGTCCCTCTCTGTCTCCCTCTCTCTTCCCCTCCTGTATATGTACCTTTGATTTTGTTTGGTTATCATTCTTTAGCATTGTTAAAGATGAGGTCCATTCTTGAAGAGAAGAGCCACAAGTCTCATATTCCTTTGAACACCTTATCCTGGACTGTTGAGAGATACATTGGATGCTTTATCACTGTTAGTGTTAAATAATCCTAGAAATAATAAATTAAAATAACAATAGTTTCTGCATTACATAAGTACATGTATATATGTATCAGAAAATGTAATAAAATGGAAAATTCTCTCCTTTCAATTTTGGCTAAAATCTTTGTACTATATATAGCAAGGCTGCAAAAGTCGTGGCAGCCATTTTGAAGTGGAGTGAATCCTACTTACCAATTATAGGCAATTAAGGCACCTCCTGGTAAATAACTCAGGTGATATGGCATTGGAGCTTAGATAGGAACAATTATGAAATGCTCCAGGAGGTGCTTGTTTTAGCTAAGTACACAATACACCTGTAAACAAAGGAACTTTCTAATTACAATGGTACTCAATAGAAAGTTTTTATTGTGGAAGCCGTATAGAGGTGCAATAATTAGGAGACAGTACGTCAATTGGGGCGAGTATGGTAGTAACGCTACCGTGCTACTAAAAAAATAGTACAGGACTTTTGCTTAATTTTGGAGCAACTTTAAAAATTTGTAAAAATCTAAATTTAATCAGAATCAGCTCGAAATTTATGCACAACATAAAAAGATGTATGTATCAGGAAATATTATTAAAATGAAGGAGTTCTTTCTTTTTTCAATTTTGGCGAAATTGGACCTGTGGCCATGTACTATAGTACAGGGACTTTGGCCCAATTTCAGAATGATTTAAAAAAATTCTTTTATCAATTTGAATTTGATCGGAATCAGCTTAAACTTTCTATACAAGGACCAAAACATAAAAGACAATCGTATTATTAGTATTATTATTATCATTATTACTATTATCATGATTATTATTATTACTATTATTATTATTATTGTTATTGTTATTATTATTATTATTACTGTATACATTGATGCATTGGCTGGTTCCGAGATAAAATATCATCAATAATTAATCTAGAGGTACCTAATATCCAGGACTAGAGGAATGAAAGAATTAACATTAAAATTTATGTGCAATCAATAAAAATATCATTATTAACTTACCTGTACTGTGTTGTTTAGTCGATTCAACATTAGTAGCATCATCATCTTCACAAATTAACATCTAGATAAAATAATAATAATAAGAATGTTAATATTAATAATGGTAATAATACAGTAATTACCATAGATATTAAAAATTTTAATGACAAATGAATTTTCTCTATCTATGATGTAATTGACAATAATTAGATATTTTAACTCCCGCCCACTTTGGCGGGAAGATCTCGAGAGGCGAGAAATTGTAATAAAAATGGCTGACAGGGAGAATGTCTCTCAAGAAGAATCCTCAGTAACTTCACGTTAGTTACAGCTATATGCAATAATAATGAATGCCATCAATATTACTAAGTATATCAGCATTAGTTATTGTCTCATATAGACTATAAACTGTCTATTAAGAATTAGAAGTGAATCAGTTATATATACATTTTACACCCTTTTTCTTTCCCCCTCCCTCTCTCTCTTTCTCCAGCAATGTCAGTGCCACCTGCCGCCCTACAGACCTCAGATATCACTTCACCTCCTCCCGTTGAAGAGGAGAGGGAGGAGGAGTCTTCCCAGAGAAGACGATGTAGGACCGACCCCTCCAGTCCCTTTAGTTCCAACATATTCTCACCTCCGGCTCCCTCTAACGTATTACCATCCTCCGAGATAGACTTAAGCTCTCCGCTTACTTTTGGTACGCCTTCCTCAAGGGTTGGTGGGCCGGGCTCTAATCGCGGGTAAGCCCTTTTAATTCTCTTGTCCAGATCGTGAAGGGTTTTTTGTTTAGTGCCACGCCTGTACGCCCACGTGGGGATCTGGGTCAGTCTCAAAGACTAAGAGAAATCAACGTTGCTGTTTTAGACGGGGTAAGAGTACTCTCATTTTGAATTATTTTTTTGTATTATTATTATTATTATTATTATTATTATTATTATTATTATTATTATTATTATTATTATTATTAATTTTTTATATGTTTATTTCAGACCACCTCCAGGGCGGGGCAGACAAGCGATGCTGGAGGTGACGTCAATATGGTCGTATGGGGAACTGATGTCAATGTTTCCGAGACTAAGAGACAGTTTAAGTTGTTCCTAAGACAGTTCATTAATGATCTTCATGATCCTGATGGAGTTGATGATGATGACCAGATGCAGGGGCAAGATGCGATGGAACCATTTTATATGACGCGTCTTGAAGTGGTGAGGAAAGAAATAGATAATAACTGAAGCACATTACATTATGGGTTCCAAAAATCCACTTAAAATTGGATTTTTGTGCATATTCAAAGTTACATGTACTTCAAAATTTTGATGCTAGTATTTATTTATTTATTTATTTTATTATTTTAGATTAATTGTCTAGAGGAGCCTTATCTAAATGTTAATGCGGCTCACCTCCACCAGTTCAACCCTGACCTTTATTCTCATCTTATCCGGTATCCTCAAGAAGTCATTCCAACATTTGACATTGGAGCTAATGAACTGTTTCGGGAACTGTATCCGGACAGCAATTTGCCATTTCAAATAGAAGTAAGCATAGTAGCATAAGGACACCTTTATATTGAGGACACCTCTATAATAAGGACACCTTTATATTGAGGACACCTTTATAATAAGGAAATCTTTGGTCCTTTATAATAAGGACACCTTATAATGAAGGAATTTTGTAATTTCCCAAATAATTTAATATAAACCTTAACAAAAGTATGTATACTATACCACTGAAATGAGAGCACCTCTGTGTTAAGGGAAGTAGTGTGAGCCCAATGGTGTCCTTAATAAAGAGGCTATACATGTACATGTACATGTTATGCTTTCTTGTTAATATAAAAGGATATGTTCTTCCTTACACTCCTGTATAGGTAAGAGCTTATAATGCAGAGAGAACAAAGAATATGAGATCTCTTAATCCTGAGGGTAAGTTCCAGAATATTGCAAACTAATCAGTCTTCCTGCTCTCCTTTTATACACATAGATATTGATCAGTTGATTACAATCAGTGGAATGGTGATTAGATCTTCGCCAATTGTACCAGAAATGAGAGAAGGTAATCTATACACGTATATACATGTACATGTACACGTATGTAGGTCAAAGTGAATTTCTAAAGTTGCTCAAAAATTGGGCCAAAGTCCCTGTACTATAGGACATGATTGCAACCCAAATTTTGGCAAAAATGACCAGGAGAGAATTCTTCATTTTTATCATTTTTTCTGATGCATATACATGTTCTTATGTTGTGTAGAAAGTTTGAGCTGATTCCGATCAAGTTTGGATTTTTTATGAATTTTTAAAGTTACTCCAAAATCGGCCCAAAGTCCCTGTACTATAGTACAGGGTCATCGGCCAAATTTTACCAAAAATGAAAAGGAGAGAATTCTTCATTTTTATAATTTTTTCTGATGCATATACATGTTCTTATGTTGTGTAGCAAGTTTGAACTGATTCCGATCAAAATCAAATTTTATATGAATTTTTAAAGTTGCTCTAAAATTAGACCAAAGTCCCTGTACTATAGTTCAGGATCATCGGCCAAATTTTGGCAGAAATGACTAGGAGAGAATTTTCCATTTTTATAATCTAATCTGATACATATATTTGTTCTTATGTTGTGTAGCAAGTTTGAGCTGATTCTGATCAAAATTGGATTTTTTATGAATTTTAAAAGTTAGTAAAAAATCAAGCCAAATTCCCTGTACTATAGTACAGGGATTTTGTCCAAGTTTCACCAGAAATGAAAAGGAGAGAATTCTTCCTTTTTATAATTTTTGATTTCGGTTGATGCTTAAAGTTATCTATCTTCATAATCATTTCTTTCCTCTCCATAGCCTTCTTCCAATGTTACATTTGTCACGCAACTCAATCAGTTGCTATTGATCGTGGGCGTATTGCTGAGCCAGCAGTGTGCTCCAGCTGTGAGGCACTCCATAGCATGGCTTTGATACACAACAGATCTTACTTCACTGATAAGCAAGTGATTAAACTCCAGGAATCACCTGGTGAGATATATTATTAAAAAACAATTATTATTATCATCATTATTATTTATCATTATTATTATCGCTGTTAATGTGTAGAGGATATGCCACCAGGACAGACCCCACACACTGTCCTCCTTTATGCTCACGATGATCTTGTGGATAAAGTCCAGCCAGGAGACAGGTAACATCATCTGAAAAACACACAACTAATACTCTAAATTATGTTTGAACTTTTAAAAAAATTATATTGCTCAAAAATTTAGCCTGTATGTATAATAGTAGTACATGTGATTTAGGATCATTGTTACTGGGGTCTATCGTGCTGTTCCGCTGAGAGTCAATCCAAGAGCAAGGACAGTAAAGAGTGTTTACAAGACCTACATCGACGTGATACACTACAAGAAAACTGACAGCCGTCGACTGAGAGAGAGGGAGAGTGAAGACGATGACGAAGATGAGTGAGTTCAACCAGTACTATAGTACTAGTATCATCAGTAGTTTATATAATGATCTGATTGATGTATTTATGTACTTTTATGCTAAGCGGTATTGCAATCAAAAATCCATGTACCTACATCTATAAGTTAACACAAATAGCACAAAGTTTTGAGCTTCAAGAACCAAAATTTTTTTGAGTAGATTTTAGCCCGCAACTATTTACAAATTTGTAATTTTTTAAGGCAAAGGAATTTATTTACTCCTGAGCGTGTACAACAGTTGATGGAATTATCAAAAACTCCAGACATATACGAGAGACTGGCACATGCTTTAGGTACCTATCACTATCTCTAATATTGAATTGTGCACTGGAACCCCTCCCTTCCTCCCTCTAGCTCCAAGTATCTATGAAAACATTGACATTAAAAAAGGAATATTGTTGCAGTTATTTGGCGGAGCTCGTAAAGACTTCAAAAATGCTGGCAGGGGACATTTCAGGTAATACATCATGTGACACTAACTCACACTCATACATTGTATGATTGTACTCATACATTTGTAGATCTGAAATCAACATATTGCTATGTGGAGATCCTGGTACCAGTAAATCTCAACTATTGCAGGTAATATATATATATATATATTATATATATATATATATGTAATGCATGTACATGTACATGCATCTTAATATAGCAAGCTCTTACTCATCCTCCTCTGTCTCTTCGTTAGTATGTTCATAAGTTAATGCCACGTGGTCAGTATACGTCTGGTAAAGGTTCCAGTGCCGTTGGTCTCACTGCTTACGTTACTAAAGACCCTGACACTAAGCAACTGGTCCTGCAAACGTAAGTATGAGCTGTTTATCCTTTAAAATTAAAAACTGACATAAATCTCTCTATCTCTCCTCTTACAGTGGTGCTCTTGTTTTGAGTGATAATGGTATATGCTGCATTGATGAGTTTGACAAGATGAATGACAGTACCAGGTCCATTCTTCATGAAGTAATGGTAAGTTTATTTGGAGCATCTGAAAGAAGTGCATGTGGTTGATTAAAAATGGCAATTCATCCATTAATTAGTTCATTGTAGAAATGACTAGTGATAATTATTGAGACTACTGCATTTTCTCATTGATTTTTGACTTTATTCTACAGGAACAGCAGACCCTCTCTATAGCAAAGGCTGGTATCATCTGCTCACTCAATGCCCGTGCTTCTATCCTAGCAGCTGCTAACCCTCGCATGTCCAGCTGGGATGAGAAACTAACAGTAGTCGAGAACATACAATTGCCACATACTTTAATGTCACGGTGAGCTTAAAAATAATAATTATCTATTTGTGATTATACTCTCCTTCTCTCCCTCTCTTAGTTTTGATTTAATATTTTTGATGCTTGATCCACAAGATGAGCAGTTTGACAGACGATTGGCAACGCATCTTGTCTCTTTGTATCATCAGACAAAAACTGAAGAGGAGTCTGACTACATGGTAATACAGTAAATCCATAGTAATAGGCCGATAGCAATATTAATACTTGCTGCTTTGATTAGCATTTGTTATTCATTTTGATAGAACATGGCTACTTTAAGGGATTATATTGGCTATGCTCGTAAATATGTTCATCCCTCACTCTCAGAAGAGGCTGGAGAGACCCTGGTCAATGCCTACATCAGTAAGTTCATTAACATCTTATTAGTTAGTAGCTAGTAACTTAGTACTATAGTAATGCAATTTATTAAGGACATCGTTAATACCACACTCATCACTCACTGTACTGTAGAAGTGTCCATGTTTCAGTTTTAATCAGTTACATTGCTTATAGTTATGAATGCAATATAATACTTGTCTGTTTTTTTCAGATATGCGTAAAGTTGGTAGCAGTCGTGGGGCAGTGAGTGCTTACCCTCGTCAATTGGAATCACTTATTAGACTAGCAGAAGCACATGCAAAAATGAGGTTAGATTGATCATCATGCATAAAAATTGATTGAGCGATTTGTAAAATTTTTTTTATATTTTTAGATTTTCTAAGACAGTTGAGATTGTTGATGTTGAGGAAGCTAAAAGGTACATTGTATATTCTGATATTTGTAACTCCATAATTATTTTATTATTATCTCATTAATGGCAGATTGCATAAAGAAGCTTTGAAGCAAGCAGCCACTGATCCAAAGACTGGCATAATTGATGTTGGTATACTAACGACTGGGGTTAGCAGCTCTGAGAGACAGAGAAGGGAGTTGCTAGCCAAAGAACTTCGTAAGCTATTGCAGTCAAAGTCCAGAGGAGGAGCACCACTAAAGCAAGCAGAGATGTTTGAAGCAATGAAAGAACAATCACAAGCAGTAAGAGGAATAGAGAGAGTACATTATATCAATTTTGTTTTTGAACCAGGTCATCACTCAGCAGTTGTTTGAAGCTGCTCTAAAATTATTGCAAGATGAAGACTTCTGCACCTTTTCTTCTGGTTCCATCAGACTATCCAAATGAACAATAACTGTAATAAACAGTAGCCATCCAATAAATTAGGAGAGAGAGAGAGTTTGTTATAAAAATAAAGCAACATAACATCTCTTGATAACATCCAATCACTTATGTACGTACACGTGGTAGCACGTGGGCAGCTTAATTGTGGGTGTGTTCTAATCCAACATGGATGAAGACAAAGAAGTTCAACCAACAGTAAAGACTGATTTAAGTGGACCAATAGCACTCATTATACTGCAATAGTCTTTTGTAGGTAACAGGGAGCCTTCTTATGAAGAGCTAGTCAAGTTAGTAAATGTTATATCCAAGCCATTGGCAGGAAGAAAGCTCACTAAAAGATTATTAAAAGTTATAAAATTAATAATTCTTTTAAAATTTTATGTCTTTCATTAGTTGGTAAAGAAATCAAGTAAAGGGAATCATTTGAAAAGAGGAGTGAGAGAAGTTGTGAAGAGTTTGAGGAAAAACAACAAAGGAGTGGTCATATTTGCCGGTACGTGTGCACGCCCACACACTAATTAGAATTAGCCACCCTACCTATCATTTCCAGGTGATGTTAGCCCCATTGATGTGATATCGCACATTCCTGTATTCTGCGAAAATAAGAAAATACCGTATTGCTATGTGCCATCTCGTAGACAATTGGGTGGAGCTGGTGGCACCAAGAGGCCGACTAGTGTTGTCTTAGTTGAGAAGGATAAGGACTATGAGGAGCTTTATGAACAGTGCTACAGTGATGTTGATGCTCTTCCATTACCAATTTAATTGTTATGATTACAGTAATTATATTAGCTTGTTTGTGGTATTACACAAACAATATTTCAAAGGGCAAGCAAGGACAAAGAAACTCTTTATTTAGCTAATGAGTTTTTGAGGCTTAGACATAATTTGTTCGTACTAGAGTAAATAGTAATATTTAATCAACTCAATAATCATTAAGCTTTAATGGACCAAGATATGTTAATTCATAGTTGATAAATATCACGCTTTATGCTAGCGATGTCTTTAAGAATAAATGAGCAAGTGATTTATAAACTGTATATTTAGTATTTAAGCAGCAGCAACTTAAGTCATTCCATCAAAGAAGAATCGTCATCATGAAGCTGTTTCTTGTACTTTTCCTTGTTCTCTTTGCTGCTGCAGCAGTGAGTAGTACTAGGAAATCAAAACCCCGTTGTCCGAGACCTGCAGTACCCTATTATGGATACGTACGTAAAGGACGTCGAAGCTCTTATACTGTTAGTAAAAGGATTACCATTGCTTGCAAACGTGGGTATATACTGGTTGGAAGCAGCTCCATCAAGTGTTTGCAAAAAGGGCAACTTGCTTATTGGCACCCACATCCACCAGTTTGCAAGGAATTATCCAGTAAAAATTGTCAATATAAATCTATACTTATACAAATTATTATTTATATCGCTAGTTGTTTGTCCAAAATTGCCTGCTCCTGCTAATGGACGAGTGTGGAATAAAGGATTGAAAGCAACGTTCAGATGCAATAGTGGGTTTAAGCTAAGGGGCAGCTCCAAGAGAAAATGCAGGTCTACTGGATGGACTGGGACCCAACCAATTTGTGAACCAAGTACAAACATTATGTTTAAAATGGTTCTTTATAATTGTATGTGCAGAGTATGCATGCCCTACACTTCATAATCCAGCCAACGGTTATGTTAAAATAATAAAACATGGATCTAAAGCTGTTTACAAATGCAACAGTGGATTCAAACTGAGAGGACACTCCAAGAGATCCTGCAAGTCAAATAGATGGACTGGAAACCAACCATTCTGCCAACCAAGTAAAACCTATAATTTTACTAAGATTGTTACAATTATACTACAGGATTTCCACAATGCCCAAGATTGGCAGCACCAGAAAATGGGAAGGTTTCGTTTAGTAAAAAAGGTTCAAAAGCTGTTTATGAGTGCAACAGTGGATTCATATTGAAAGGATCTTCCAAAAGATTTTGTAAACGTAATGGGTGGACTGGATCTGCACCAACCTGCCAAAGTAGACAATTATGCTTATCATCATCATTATCATTATTATTTATGAACACATAGAGCCTATACAGTGTCCTAGGTTAGCTGATCCAGAAAATGGTGATGTTAGCTTTAGACAAATAGTTGGATCCGTTGCAATGTACAAGTGCAATAAAGGATTCACATTAATTGGAAGTGAGAAAAGAACTTGCCAGCAAAACGGAGCATGGACAGGACAGCAACCAACATGCAAATGTATGATTTAAAAAAGACTTACCTTTGATTAAAATAGTATTTTAGTAATATCATGCACAATATCAATTCTACTTTCTCTTTTTATACAGTGGTTCCCATTTGTAAGCATCCCTATTCTCCTCTATTTGGTTCTGTGCAAGTAAAAGGGTTTGGTATTGGAGCTGTAGCTCATTATACTTGTTCAAACGGATACAAGCTGATTGGCTATCAGTCAATCCCATGCACTGCTGGAGGAGTATGGAAGTACCGTGCTCCAATTTGCTCTCCGTTTCATATTTATGAATATGCTGAACACTAATTAATGGATATATATAATAATTAAAAATAATAATTTATTTGTTTCAAAAGAATTGTTGAACATTATTAAATAAAAATATCTTGCTGGATGTCATCAATTCTTATTAAACACACTGCAATTATTGTTTATGGTAATTAACACTCTCATTTGCACCTCAAGGTGTTAAAAAGGACTTGTAAATTTTGTCACACTTACTAGTGTTAACAAGGTATCAAAAACAACTTGTAAATTACTTCCTGTTTGTAAATTGAGGAACTAATATTTCTTATTAAATACAGTTGTTGCTGAATTTTTAATAAAACAGTACTTATAAATTAGCCTAAATCACAAAATAAAATATATATTGATGATAGTACATACATATACACTAAGTGATTAAATATTCTCTTTAATTGTTATATAGTTTCATCCAGTGTCCTTTGTCTCCTATCAGGAGGTTTCAGACGAATCTTAGCGCAATTAGGTGGAAACTTGATACCTAAGGAGCTATAAGACAGATCCATTTAACAACTACCAACAAAGTAATTTCCTTAAATAAAAGCCCGGGCATCTATTTCCTAAAATGATACTTGGACCTCCAAAAAATATATAAAAAATAAAAAAAACTTTGGCCCAGAGCGGGATTCGAACCTGTGGCCTCAAGCTTTTGACTTCTGGAACTTCAGGCATTGCCCACTAGACTACTGAGTCACTCCTAGGCTGGTGTTGCGTATTTATAGTTTAATTCTATTGCTACCCCGGCGTTTATTCGAATGCGGCTTCTATTTAAGGAAATACGGTACATGTACATGCACCGCAATATTATACATGTATATGCACATTTTAAACTTTCTCACGTCATGTCTTGTGGAGTTAGAAAGATGAATTGCTTCCCTTGCATGCTCTGTCCCATCTCTAACATTAGCTGCATGCTTATCTTCCGATTCACTAGATCCATGAAGACATCAAACTCATCCAGACAGCGGAAAGGACACTCCATTGCTTCCCACAGCGCAATTATGAAAGCGACTGTTGAGAACGAACGCTCTCCACCAGAGAGGCTGCGTACGTTCTTTGTTGCTTGTTCCTTCCTCACTTTAACCTAATAAATAATATGCTTCATGAGCAGAGAAGAACTACACTACACTACATGACTTTTTGAGCAGCTTTAAAAATTCGTAGAAAATCCAATTTTGAACAGGATCAGCTCAAACTTCTACACAACATAAGTACATGTATATGCACTACAAAAAATTATAAAAATTGAGAATTCTCCCCTTTTCATTTTTGGTGAAATTTGGCAAAAATCCCTGTACTAGAGTACAGGGACTTTGGCTCAATTTCGGAGAAACTTCAAAAATTTATAAAAAATCCAAATTTGATCAGATTTAGCCCAAACTTTCTACACAATATATAAACATTTTTATGTATTAAAAAATTACTAAATTTGAGAATCCTCTCCTTTTCATTTTTGGCAAAATCTGGCCAATATCCCTGTACTATAATAGTACAGGGACTTTGATCCGATTTTAGAGCAACTTCAAGTACATGTAGCTAAGAAAGAAACTGCCTATGAAAGAACAGTAGACAACAAATTTATTTCTTTTCAACTGCTATTACTTATTCCTCATGTCTGGCAATTACACGTAGCACAATAAGTCGCTTCCCAATCGGTTATTCACTTACAATAATTTCCAATTTCTTCTCGTTCTCGTCAAATTTCAGTGTTCCATTGTATCCTCTTTTGCTAACAAGTGACTGGAAGTAAAGGCACGCCCGTCTAGCGGTCCGTTGTCGTATCTCCTTATAGCCGAGGAGTCGACGGCTAAAGCTTGCCTTCAAACACTGAAAAAATACACCTTTATAACTAATTTTAAGTTAAAAAATTAAAATCTTACACTTACACACATACACACACACACACACTCATCACTCTAAGCTTACAGCTAGTGATTTTTTCTCCTTAGTGATAGCTTTGTCAAGTTCCTTAAAATTCTTCATTGCCTCAAGAAAATTAATTCTGACCTCCTCTTGATTCCGCCTCCTACAACAAAACATAGTAAAACTAGACTTTAACTAAGCATCTGTTAATTACCTGTGTGACTCTTCATCCAGTTTTTTCTTTATATTCTCGATTTCACTCTTAATACTTGAAGAAGGTCTGTCTGTATCGATTCTGCTACATAGATCACTGGCTATTTTAGTAACTGTCTCAGTCTCCTGTCTCTGTTCTTGAAGAGTGGCATTTATGCTCTCTATTTTAGACTCTAGCTGCCTTTTACGATTATTAACCTCGGCAATATGCCCCATAGCCTGACTTAGATCTACAGTGGCTTTCTAGAAAGAGACAGAGAGAGAGTTAGGGAGCTACTTTATGCACGCCACAATTATAAATTACCAACAATACATTATGTCCATTTATGTGTGAATCATTCACAAACTTTAAGCTCATCCCTAGCAGCCTCCAGTCTATCAAACACTTCACTCTCATACTCTGCGTGGACCCTCCTCTCTTCCTCGAGCTCTGCCAGCTTCCTCCTCCTGTCCTTAATGACGTCTTGGACTTCTTGTATCTTCTCCGTTTGAGTTGCTATTTTCTCTTCGAGTTCTCTTATCTCGCTCTCCCACGTATCAATGTCTGCCTCGTGACTCGTGTCGTCCAGAGCTTCAATCATCTCGTCTACTTCAGTCTTACTCTTGTTTAAAGTCCGTTTCCTAGTCTGAGCTGATGCGATGTACTGTTTAATACTAGACATGTCTCTCTGAGGAAGGAAAGAAACAATTAAGGAAGAAACTAGTAAGTAAATATGTGCATGTACATGTATTTTACAAAGGGTCAATTACATGTCATGATTTGAATTCAATACATGCGTGATGCAGAACATACATGTAGTACAGGGACTTTGGCCCGATTTTGGAGCAACTTTGAAAATTCATAAAAAATCCAAACTTGATCAGAATCAGCTCAAACTTTCTACACAACATAAGTACATGTATACGCATCAGGAAAAATTATAAAAATCAAGAAATCTCTCCTAGTAATTTTTGGCAAAATTTAGCCAGGAACTTTGTATATACATGCAAGGAGTACAGGGATTATATAAACTGACCATTATAGAGTCCACATTGTTTTTTATAGCAGCCTCCTGTACAGTAAGTGCTGTCTTCTCATTGTTAAGCTGCTCCAAACACCTTTGTTGCTGTGCTATGGAGTCATCTCTTGAAGCATGGAGTATACCAAAGGGACGATGATCTCTCTTAACTGAGTAATACTGATCATGTAATGCCTGATCACCTTCAATGGTATAAGCCTGAGAGAGAGAGGGAGGGAGGAAGGGAGAGAGGGAGAGAGAGAGAGAGGGAGGGGGGGATAAAGTTCAATGTGATTCATCATGTACATGTATGTTTAGTACTTACTACTCTTGCATTCCTAGGAGGACGATCCATGAGTCTTCTAGCTTCATCTTTGTTTTCCACAAGGAGCATTGAGTCAATGGATGACATGTCCACGAGTATATTGAATATATCAGGATCACTGACACTGATCATATCAACTAGTGCTGGATATTGACACCTTGGTAGCTACAGTAAGAGAAAGAGCTTTGATAATGTAACGCCTACCATCAATGAAATGGAGTCAAACAAAATGTGCTAATCTGCCAATGAATGGCAGCTTAGTTTGTGTAGTTAGTGACTTACATTGCGAGAGACATCATAAGGTCTTCCCTAACAAAGAAAAGGTAATTATATAAAAAGAGAGCAAGAGAGCTCACTGTGAAGCTACTAGTGAAGACAGGCGGTATGAATCTGGAGCGGTGTCTCGTACAAATGTCCCTAATGATTCCTTTCAGCTTATACTCATCGTCATGAGACGTGACCACAAACCCACAGAGTGTACCAAAACCAATGCATATCTCAATAGCAACGGACCACTTCTGCTCCTTCAATTTAATGTAAGCACCTACACATTGAAGAGAGAGAGAGAGCGGAAGATGAACATGTGAATACAGCAAATTATAAGTTTGCATGATTTTGCTAAACTTTCAAGTACTACTAGATCTAAATGACTATAATAATCATACCAACTGTACACAGCAGTATACATGTATATACCGTATAGTGCTTTAATTTTGCAGAGTTTTATTTTGGCAATTGGCGGTTTGCAAGCAGAATCCCCAATATTAAAACCGCAAATCATTAATGTGCATGCTCAGTAATGCACGTGTATACAAAAATCACCAAATTAAAAACCGCCAATTACAATTTTACAGTAAAATCACCAAAATAAAGCACTGCCACAATAAAGCGCTATACAGTAAATTGTACTAACCAATGGGTCCTTTTGGTGTCATGTTAAACTGCTCCTTGCTCCTCTTGATAGTGTTCACAATCTCAGTCATGTATTGTGCGAATCTGCTCAGAGGATTGTCACTGGACGACAATCGTCTCAGCGACTCCCTACAGTCTCTGATGTTCCCATCAACGTCAGAAACACGTGACCTAAAGTCACATGACATGCCAAAGAGAGTACACTGAGATGAAGGTACCTGATAGTCATGTGTTCTTTTTTGGCATTTTCTGCGTCTCCTTGTTTTGTGGCCAGGTCTCTATTGGCGGTGCTTAAATGCTCAGTTACAGTTTTGATTTCAACATCAACATCTCTTAGCTTCTGCATGAGGCCTTCTCTCTGACTTTTGATATCATCAGGATTCCTATTAAAATAAAAAACAATAAAATAAATACATAAACAAATAAACCCACTGATTCCTCTTTTCTTCCAATTTTTCTTCAAATTTCGCCTTTTCGCCTTTCCACCGATCGTTCGCTTGTTTCAATGACCTTACCTCACCCTAAAATAATTTTTTTTAATCCAAATTTATCATAACTTCGACTAGCACATACGACATACGTACATGTACGTGTACACATGTATTTCACTCCTTACCTGCTTGTTGGCTACTTCCCTGTCCAGTGCAGTCTTTTGTGCTGCCAGACTATTCTTCTTTGCACTGACATCAGCTGTAGCATCTGTTGCTTCTTGAAGGACAGCAGAGGCTTGATCTTTCTTCTCAGTCTTCTTTCTTTTAACCTCTTCATAATTATCAAGCTAAGGAAGGGAGGGAGAGAGGGAGGGAGGTAATATAAAGAAAAGAAAGTTCTCAGAAATTCTTACTTTCCGTTGAATGCTCGCCATTTTTCTTTCTTCTCTGTTTAAAGATTCCCTTGTCCTTGCAACTTTCTCTTCGCATTCTTTTACAGTTGCCCACAGCAACTCCAAGGACAGCTGCTCCTCCCTGGACTCCATATTCTTTAAGTTTTCAATATCTAAAATATATCATCGTACATGATCAAAATCAAAAACTTTAAGTCAGAATCAGATCAAACTTTCTACATAGCGTAAGGGCATCAATATGTATAAGAAAATAATAATAAAAATTAGGGATGATTTTGAAGCCAATTAAAAAAAAAAACATGGGCTACGGCCTTGGGTATTTCTCAAAAATTGGCTCATTTTTTGAAATGCTCATAACTGTAAACTTTTAGTCAAAATCAGCCACATACATGTACATGTAGCATAAGAACATCTACATATATAATAAAAAGTTGCCATGTAGGAAGTACTTTTCAAAAGCACATGACTCCATACCTTGAAGTTCCTGCTCGTACCGTCGAGCTTTACTCTGCAGTTCCGGCAACATCCGAACCTTCCTATTGACTTCCTGTTCCATAAGCGCCTGGTCCTCTTTAGCACTGATAAAGTCCAGTCTTATCTTGTCCAGGTGAGTCCCCTTCATGAAGAGCTGATACTTATCGCTGGAATTATTGCTATGCAAGAAATTCCTGCTAGTGTCCTGACTTAGCATACATACTGGATTATCAACCTACAATACATGCAACAATATTAACATCAAATCCTGTCAATATTATAGTCCCTTCCCTTCATTATCAAAGTGTCTCTCATACATACATACATACATACATACATACATACATAAATATATATATACACACACATTATACATGTAATTTCTTCATACCTGAATATTAAAATGGTCCAGCATCAATAATAGATCGTCCTTTTGCTGTGAAATCACTCTCCCTAAATCAAGAGAGGGAGAAAGAGAGAGAAGGGAGAGATGAGACAAGAATAATAAGCATAAATAAAGACAGAAGAATGGGTAGGAGGGATCATAATACCACATTATTCCTTACCGTCACTACTTTGCAGTTTATACGATGAGGAGCTATCTTTCCTTATTGTGCGTACGATTGTAATATGCTGTCCATATTGATCTCCTTTAAATGACTCTGTGCCTTTATTGGATAACGTTAGCTGTATCTCTGCTTGACTAAATATAGGATATAATTATATAAACATACTAATGTATACTGCAATGCATTTTATTTGAGAAAAGTATTTAGATTGTCTTCTAGTATACTTACCTTTGTCCAGTCCGAATAAAGTCCTTCAAAGATTGAGCACGCTGTGTTGAATGAGCTTTTCCTCCAAGTGCAACAATGATGGCGGTCATAATAGCACTTTTACCACCTGCCAGCAATAAAGCAATGTACATAATCAATTATTATAAACGATGCTAATAACTTACTTCCATTATCTCCGAGTATAAAGTTGACGCACGACTGGAGCTTCACTTCAAGTTTAGCGTGACACATAAAGTCAGTCAGCAATATCTTCTCGATAACTCCATCGTCTACAGACTATATAGGAGAGAGACAGAAGTGAACACGTGTACATTTAACACCTACTCTATTAGCAATAAGCTCTTCAGTTGCTCTTCTGATATCTTGTGACGGAGCAGGAGACAGTAGCACTTGGCTACTATCAATATTATCCATATCTTCGTCACTCTGAAGCTCCTCTTCCTCCTCATGTTCTTCTTCTATCCTTGCTCTTTTTCGAACAGGTTCCCCCTCCGCCATTATTTAATTTTTAACTTTTAATTAACTAGTTCAGTCACACACCTCACGTGTTTACACGTGGGTTGCAAAGCATCACGTGAGCAGTAAAATGGAAGAGTTTCTTGCTGGTGGTCTTCCTAATGAATGGTTGAGTTTGGTGAGGAAATCATCAGCAGATGATGAAGGAGTTGCTTCCATTGAGAATTTTTCTGAGGACACAAATTCTTCTCAAGCATAGTAAAAAAGGAAAAAGAATTTATGAAGTGGATATTTTTTAATATTTTTACCTCAGTGATGCCAGAGATTTGTCAAAAAAAGATTCCTCTCCTTCAAAAGTGCAGCAGTATATTGATTCAGTATGGCAATCAGAGAACGTAAGGCAATGATGATATAAACATTACCATTTGAATTTATTTGTTAGCAAAAAGGATTGACTAATTTTAAGAACTCTATACTAGAGGATGAGTTGACTATTCATCACAAAGACTGTAAGTGCATGAGACCATAGAGCTATTTATAAATGATCTGCTATATGTTAAGTGGCCTCAATAAATCCTCAGAAAGCAACTGATTGGCTTGAGTCAGTTGACTTGTCCATTGGGACCACTACTGAATCCTTTCCTGAACATTCAGCTAATAAATCAATGCAAAGGATTAAGGCTGGATCTTTTCTAGCTGGAGGGTATGCTCAGCAGCTTAGAACAGCACAAAACAATCTCACCAGAAGCAGTTAAGTGTGATTGTCTGATTGATTAGTGTTAATTCATGATACCTTTTAGGCGTTTGTGATGTTCTACATGTTCAAGTAGATTTGGTGGTGTGGTGTTGCTCAGTCTTAGTTACTCAGTCTATTCTATTGAATGAAAACTATGAAGGAGGTTAGCTATACAGTTCAGTGAAGGCTATATATATATATATACGTGTAGAATATTAGTATTTTTGGTCTTTTTTAACAGAGTCTTATTGTTTGGTGTTCTTTCATTGTCAATCAGACCGACCCATCATGAGAGGATCATTTGTTAGAATACAGTCACCATTGTAAGCTTAAACCAAATTATCTAATGCACTTTTTATTTTTATTTTAAAGTCATTTAGTTCATTTAGAGGGCAGTGATAATACTGTGTTCCCAGTATATTTGGCTAAACGCTATCAGATAAATAAAACATCATTACCGTCAAAAATTGTTAGCAGTTATGACTGTAAGCTGTACATATTAATGACACAAGCTATATTTTTGTGTAGTTTCTTCATTGAATAATACTTGTCATTCTGACTTGCTTAAATCAAGAGCTTTATTAAGAGTAAAGTGCATGGATAATAGATTATACACACTCTCTGTTCTTATTTATAGCGTTTATTTTATGAAAAGAAGCTAGACATTGTAAGACTATTAGACATTGCACCAGCTGAACCACACACCCAGCAAATGTCTTCATCTTTATGTAAGGAATATATACCTCATGTATTTATCCTGCCTCTTGTTATAATAGTAAATTTTCATCGCACTCCAACTACACTACTTCATGCCCTTGAGATTCAGAATAATATAGCTGATAAGATGATTAAGATCACCTTTTCTGCAACTATCAAACTGAGTGTATTTGAAAATAATGATCACAAAATTTTAAAAAATGGTATCGGGTGCTACCATGAAGCAAAGTTAGCTTATTATTTAACTTTGGATTAGTAAATTAGCTTGTTTTTAATATTTCAGGTGGGTATTGTTGCTAGAAGACAAAGACTATACCTTTTCAAAACTAATGATAGCAAATGAGCACTATACAAAATGGTTCATGCTGATAACATGCTCTACAAGTGATGTGTTAACATTCATTTAGGAGAGAACTGATTGAGAGAGGAGAAGGATTACAGTTCGTGTTTCACAACATCAGTGTATTAAGAAAAGAAAACTCTTGCAGGTAAATGTCATTTTGGCTTTCATGATAATTTCTTGTTTAATGTATGCCACTTTATATTGCCGACAGATATCAGAATTTATTACCAAAAGACTTCAGTTTAGAGGTATATATATGAAAGTCCAGAGGTGTCAAACTTTCTGATAATAATTGTGTATATTTTAATCTGTATAGGCTATTGATGAATCATTTTCAATTAAAACCATTTGGTACGTACTTGAGACAGAGTTTGACAGCTACTGGGAGAAGAGGAAAGTATAAATTACTTTTAAAAACCAAAAGTTATAATTATAATTAATAATGTTAAAATAGTTATGACGTATACATTATGCTTCTTCCCTATCCAACCAGGATGCTTCACAGTCATTTTGTAAATGAGTGAGAGTCTGTTTAAAATATTGACTCATGTCAAAATATCTTTTACTTTTCCTTTTAGGCTTCAGTTCCGGAACACGATAGTGAAGTGTCAGCCCATATTTTGCTGGTACAAGGAACTGTTTAGTGTAGCCATCTTGTATAGCAGCAGGCCGATGATACCAAGCAGAGATCACTGCATTCGTCTTTACAATCATTTTATGATAGTGAAAGGAGTGATCCTCAGCCTCTGGGTCTGCCACACGCTGGGTGTTTGTGTAATAGCGAGGCCATTTCTTTCTGGGACACTTTGTTGCAGTTTTAACTTGAGGCAGACTAACTCCATCAT